GCGGCAGTTGAGTTCCCCTTTCTTGAGCCAGCTCCGAGGAAGAAGCTACCAAATTGCTTGCGTGTGGTTAAGTCAGGGCACTTGTGCTGGCCTTGAGGAAAGCCTGGGCCAGGTTCTTAGAAGGAGCTGGAATGCCCCAATCAGGATTATAGAAAGTCTGGTTATTGGCCTCTCTTTTTCCTGCCTGCACTGGCAGCTGTAGTTCCCTCTGTAAATCTCACTGCTCTGCCTGGCCGTAATGCTGAGCTGAGCAGAACGTCCCTGCAGCTCTGAGGTGACTGGCTTTCTGTAGGTCCGGGGCTGTCCCATCCTCCTCTAACATCCCCCCAGGTGCACACCTGCTAATTCTATCTCCGCTCATGTCCACAGTTGCCCAAAGCAGTGGGGACTGAATGACTCACAGGCTTGGCAATGGGCTGTGGAGACATAGCTCCTGAAGTGGCTGGCTCAAGTCCAGGAGTGGATGCAAACTGTCATCTAGCAGCTGGCTGGTGACAATTGAGTTAGTTGTTCTCAGTCCAGTCCCGCGTGGACAATTGTCCATAGAACCACAACTAGCACTCGCTGGCTGGCTCAGCAAGAGAGGCCAAGGATGGATGTGCCTGGAAACCCAGTTGCCCCTCCTTATAGAAGCGTGCTCTCCAGGCGAGGGCGGAGGAACAGTGGCTGGAGAGCAGCAAGGAGGAAAGCTTGCATGGTTGCTGCTGATGCACTTTTAAGAGTCTAGGAGGCTGCTGTCAGCAGGGCAGCTGCAAATTTGTGAGGTGGAGAGGTTGCAGCATGTGCCTGAGGGGACACACACACTGTACTCTCTCACAGGGACTTAACAGTGTTCTGTCTTGGATTTTTGTTTCCCTTCAGCTCACTTGGGCTGAGAATGTGCGTGTAGCTGGCGGGGGGGGGGGGTGAAACCCCTTTGGAGTCTGCCAGCTTCTGGAACACTGAACCCAGACTCTGGTCCTAGCCACTGGACTACAACAACAATGGCTCCATTTCCCAGCCTGCCAAAGGTCTGGGAAGAGGAAGGAGGAGACTGGAAATTCCTACAAAAGCCAATGAGGATGGATGGAGTGATTTATATAGACAGTTTGCTGGGGCAATGGGGAGCCTGGACTGCTCAGTCCCTCAGTGGGAGGGATAGGCTGCCCTAGAGACAATTTTGGAATTCTTCCGGTTTCACATTGGGGCTGTTTAGGTTTGGAGTGGGGAGAGGAGCAGCACAGCCTGGGGATACTCAACTCCCACTCTCCACCCAAAGGGAGATGTTGAACAGTTGTGGGATTTAGTAGGTGATCAGGGAGTTCCAGCCCTGTGGAGACCAGCAATCAGGGCGTGGGGGCAGAGAGCCAACCTAGTGCCAGCTGTCTTGACCTAGCCAAGACCACCACAGCACTCCAGCTGAGAGAGGACTCTACCCCACCCAGGCGTGAAGATACTGTAAGGAAATGCCTTTCTTTTTGTTCAAGCCAATCAGCAATCACAGCACCCATCGCAGGATTTATCCTCAGTGTCCTATCTCCCTGGGCCAGTGCTAAGGAGATAGCTGAGGAGTCGTGTACAGCAGTGAATGTAGGGAGGTGTGGAATTTGTTACATTGTTGATGTGTGACTATTTTAGTTCATCTTAATCCTTTCCATCCCTAGAGCCTTTGTTTCCTGTCCCCAATACAGCCGCCTGTGTTATAGTGGTCTTCCTGAGTGTGGCATTTCATTTGTGGGGGCCTGTATTAATATATTTTGTTGTTTGGGTACTGGGTTGTATTAGTTATTGTCCCATGGACCAGCACCCCTTGTGGCCCAAGCACAGAGAGGAGTCACCATGGGTGGAGGCACCAGGTGCCAAAATCAAGACCCCCATGTGAGGAGACAGGGAGAAGCAGCACCAATTAGCAAACACCAGGCTGGAGAGTGGAGCCGTGCCTCAGGAGAGAGGCTATATGTGGGTGTGTGGAGAAACACAGCACCCCTTTTTCAGCAGCAGCCCCCTTCAGGGGAAGGAGGAAGAATCCAAAGAATGAACCCCAGAGAGCAGGAGAGCTGATACTATGGGTGAGAAAGGGTTGGATGATGCGGTGGGGGAGGGGGAAGAGGAAAGGCTGGAGGAGGATCATGGAGAGACCATGTAATGGAGGGGGAAGCAAGTGGCACAAAGAGATCAGCAGAAGGGTGGGGTCAAGGTGGATAGAGACAACTCAACCCGGGGGAGGGGGGGGGGATAGAGGAGGGGGATGGATAGCATGGAATGAGGGAAACACAGGATGAGGAAAGAAGATACTACCTTTTAAAGAAGGGTACGGTGCCAAGGGGAGGAGAGAGAGAGAAAGACCCAAACAGGAAGATCTGGAGATGGGAGGGCAGAAGAACAGGAATAGGGCACAGAAGAGAGAGTTTAAGGCAGGGGTCTCAAAGTACCGGCCCATGGGCCATCTGCGGCCTGAGAACCTCCCCACTGGGGCCCGTGGAGGAGAGACACAGGCAGACATGCTGCTGGCAATCTCAGCTGCAGGCGCCACCCCCCGCAGCTCCCATTGGCTGGGGGAGAGGGACAGAGATACCATCACTAGTTGCTGGGCAGAGTCAGCCATGGTGTCAGCATCATTAGTTGCCGGGCAGAGTCAGCCATGGAGGCAGCATCACTTTTTTCCACAATGAATGTAATTTAACAAGTCAAAATACCGAACACAACTATCTGATGCACCCCTTGCTGCAATCCTGACGGTTTCGACTGCTCAGTCACTGAGGCCAAACATTAACAAACTGACAGAACTGAAGCGTTGCCAGGTGTTTGGCAAACACTAAAAACCCTCTAGCAGGGGAAGAATTGTGTAAAGTTGTATGACAGTTTTATTATTTCTAAGAAATTCAAAATAAAAAATTCAATATCAACGTTTTCTTTTCTGAACACCTTCTTCAGTGACATTATTGGCCCGCTGGGAGGATTTGAAGACTGGCACTGGCCCTAAGGTAAACTGAGTTTGAGACCCTTGGTTTAAGGAAACACACACCATGCAGGTTAATGAGCCGAGCACCATCCCTTTCTGACCCTTCCCCTTGTCCTGCTCCCATGGCAGACGTGCTGTCCCTTTGTCCGTTTCAGGAGGATGGGGAGGAGGCTGTTCTGGGCACTCGCTCTTGGGCAATTGCTGCCCACTCAAGATTCTGTAGTTCACTAACTGGAGAAAAAAGGACAGAAGGAATAACCTAAAACGCTCCAGAAGGTGGGGGCCCTCCAGAGACTTGAGCTGTTTGTCCAGGACTCAAGCTAGGCAAAGGTTTTTGGACTTGCAGTTTAATTTTGATCGACCCCAAACTATTCACAAATTTGACACAAACCTTTTCAGCTATTTACAAAATGGCTGCAGGAGAAGATGGTGCCCCCACCCACCCATAGCCTTTAGCCTAGTGATTAAGGTACTCACCTGAAACGTGAAAGACTCAGGTTCAACTCCCCGCTCAGGTCCAAGAGGTGAACCGATTGGTAATAGTGACCATAATGTAATTAAATTTAGCATCCTTTTAGGGGGCAAAATACCTAAGAAACTCACTACAGCAGCATTTAACTTCAAAAAGGGGAACTATCCAAAAATGAGGAAGCTAGTTTAATGGGAATTAAAAGGAACAGTCACAAGAATAAAATGCTTGCAAGCTGCATGGAAACTTTTAAAAAACACAATAATAGAGGCTCAAACAAAATGTATGCCCCGCCATAAAGAAGACAGTAAGAGAAACAAAAAAAAGTGGCACCATGAGTAAACAGCAGAATAAAAGAGGTGGTTAAAGACAAAATGACATCCTTTAAAAATTGGTAGTGAAATGTACTGAAGAAAATAGAAAGGAGCATACACTCTGGCAAGTCAAGTGTAAAAGTGTAATTAGGCAGGCCAAAAAAGAATTTGAAGAGCAACTAGCAAAGATACAAAAACTAACCGCAACAATTTTTTAAAGTGCATCAGTAGCAGGAAGCCTGCCAAACAATCAGTGGGGCCACGGGACAAGTGAAGTGCAAAAGGAGCACTCAAGGACGACAAGGCCATTGTGGAGAAACTAAATGAAGTCTTTGCACCGGTCTTCACTGCAGAGGATGTGAAGGAGATTTCCACACCGGAACCATTCTTTTTTAGGTGACAGATCTGAGGAACTGTCCCAGACTGAGGCATCAGTAGAGGAGGGTTTGGAACAAATTGATCAATTAAACAGTAATAAGTCACCAGAACTAGAAGGTATTCACCCAAGAGTTCTGAAGGAACTCAAACATGAAATAGCAGAACTACTAATTGGTATGTAACCTATCACTTAATTCAGCCTCTGTACCAGATGACTGGAGGATAGGAATGTAAGGCTGATTTTTTAAAAAGGCTCCAGGGGTGATCCTGGGAATTACAGGCTCGTAAGCTTAACTTCAGTACCAGGCAAACTGCTTGAAACTATAGTAAAGAACAGAATGATCAGACATACAGATGAACATGATTTGTTGGAGAAGAGCCAACATGGTTTTTGTAAAGGGAAATCATGCCTCACCAATCTGTTAGAATTCTTTGAGGAAGTCAACAAACATGTGGACAAGGATGATCCAGTGGATATAATGTACTTGGACTTCAGAAAGCCTTGGACAAAGTCTCTCACCAAAGGCTCTTAAGCAAAGCAAGCGGTCATGGAATAAGAGGGAAGATCCTCTCATGGGTCAGTAACTGGTTAAAAGCTAGAAAACAAAGTGTAGGAATAAATGGTCAGTTTTCACAGTGGAGAGAAGTAAATAGTGGGGTCCTCAAGGGATCTGTACTGGGACCAGTGCTGGTCAACATAGTCATAAATGATTTGGAAAAAGGGATAAACAGTGAGGTAGCAAAGTTTGCAGTTGATTCAAAATTACTCACCATAGTTAAGTCCAAAGCTGACTGCAAAGCGATCTCACAAAACTGGGTGACTGGGCAACAACATGGCAGATGAAATTCAATGTTGATAAATGTAAAGTAATGCACACTGGGCCCTGGTCTACACTAGGACTTTAGGTCGAATTTAGCAGCGTTAAATCGATGTAAACCTGCACCCGTCCACACAATGAAGCCCTTTATTTCGACTTAAAGGGCTCTTAAAATCGATTTCCTTACTCCACCCCTGACAAGTGGATTAGCGCTTAAATCGACGTTGCCGGCTCGAATTTGGGGTACTGTGGACACAATTCGATGGTATTGGCCTCCGGGAGCTATCCCAGAGTGCTCCATTATGACCGCTCTGGACAGCACTCTCAACTCAGATGCACTGGCCAGGTAGACAGGAAAAGAACCGCGAACTTTTGAATCTCATTTCCTGTTTGGCCAGCGTGGCAAGCTGCAGGTGACCATGCAGAGCTCATCAGCACAGGTGACCATGATGGAGTCCCAGAATCGCAAAAGAGCTCCAGCATGGACCGAACGGGAGGTACGGGATCTGATCGCTGTTTGGGGAGAGGAATCCGTGCTATCAGAACTCCGTTCCAGTTTTCGAAATGCCAAAACCTTTGTGAAAATCTCCCAGGGCATGAAGGACAGAGGCCATAACAGGGACCCAAAGCAGTGCCGCGTGAAACTGAAGGAGCTGAGGCAACCCTACCAGAAAACCAGAGAGGCGAACAGCCGCTCTGGGTCAGAGCCCCAAACATGCCGCTTCTATGATGAGCTGAATGCCATTTTAGGGGGTTCAGCCACCACTACCCCAGCCGTGTTGTTTGACTCCTTCAATGGAGATGGAGGCAATACGGAAGCAGGTTTTGGGGACGAAGATGATGATGATGAGGAGGAGGTTGTAGATAGCTCACAGCAAGCAAGCGGAGAAACCGGTTTTCCCGACAGCCAGGAACTGTTTCTCACCCTAGACCTGGAGCCAGTACCCCCCGAACCCACCCAAGGCTGCCTCCTGAACCCAGCAGGCGGAGAAGGGACCTCTGGTGAGTGTACCTTTTAAAATACTATACATGGTTTAAAAGCAAGCATGTGAAAGGATTACTTTGCCCTGGCATTTGCGGTTCTCCTAGATGTAGTCCTAAAGCCTTTGCAAAAGGTTTCTGGGGAGGGCAGCCTTATTGCGTCCTTCATGGTAGGACACTTTACCACTCCAGGCCAGTAACACGTACTCGGGAATCATTGTACAACAAAGCATTGCAGTGTATGTTTGCTGGCATTCAAACAACATCCGTTCTTTATCTCTCTGTGTTATCCTCAGGAGAGTGAGATATAATTCATGGTCACCTGGTTGAAATAGAGTGCTTTTCTTCAGGGGACACTCAGAGGAGCCCATTCCTGCTGGGCTGTTTGCCTGTGGCTAAACAGAAATGTTCCCCGCTGTTAGCCACAGGGAGGGGGGAGGGTTGAGGGGGTAGTCATGCGGTGGGAGGAGGCAAAATGCGACCTTGTAACGAAAGCACATGTGCTATGTATGTAATGTTAACAGCAAGGTTTACCCTGAAAGAGTATAGCCACTGTTTTATAAAATGTGTCTTTTTAAATACCGCTGTCCCTTTTTTTTTTCTCCACCAGCTGCATGTGTTTCAATGATCACAGGATCTTCTCCTTCCCAGAGGCTAGTGAAGCTTAGAAAAAAAAAAAAAACGCACTCGCGATGAAATGTTCTCCGAGCTCATGCTGTCCTCCCACACTGACAGAGCACAGACGAATGCGTGGAGGCAAATAATGTCAGAGTGCAGGAAAGCACAAAATGACCGGGAGGAGAGGTGGCGGGCTGAAGAGAGTAAGTGGCGGGCTGAAGAGAGTAAGTGGCGGGCTGAAGACAGGGCTGAAGCTCAAATGTGGCGGCAGCATGATGAGAGGAGGCAGGATTCAATGCTGAGGCTGCTGCAGGACCAAACCAGTATGCTCCAGTGTATGGTTGAGCTGCAGCAAAGGCAGCTGGAGTACAGACTGCCACTGCAGCCCCTCTGTAACCAACCGCCCTCCTCCCCAAGTTCCATAGCCTCCACACCCAGACGCCCAAGAACGCGGTGGGGGGGCCTCCGGCCAACCAGCCACTCCACCCCAGAGGATTGCCCAAAAAAAAGAAGGCTGTCATTCAATACATTTTAAAGTTGTAAACTTTTAAAGTGCTGTGCTTAAAGTGCTGTGTGGCATTTTCCTTCCCTCCTCCACCACCCCTCCTGGGCTACCTTGGTAGTCATCCCCCTATTTGTGTGATGAATGAATAAAGAATGCATGAATGTGAAGCAACAATGACTTTATTGCCTCTGCAAGCGGTGATTGAAGGGAGGAGGGGCGGGTGGTTAGCTTACAGGGAAGTAGAGTGAACCAAGGGGCGGGGGGTTTCATCAAGGAGAAACAAACAGAACTTTCACACCGTAGCCTGGCCAGTCATGAAACTGGTTTTCAAAGCTTCTCTGATGCGTACCGCGCCCTCCTGTGCTCTTCTAACCGCCCTGGTGTCTGGCTGTGCGTAACCAGCAGCCAGGCGATTTGCCTCAACCTCCCACCCCGCCATAAACGTCTCCCCCTTACTCTCACAAATATTGTGGAGCACACAGCAAGCAGTAATAACAGTGGGAATATTGGTTTCACTGAGGTCTAAGTGAGTCAGTAAACTGCGCCAGCGCGCCTTTAAACATCCAAATGCACATTCTACCACCATTCTGCACTTGCTCAGCCTGTAGTTGAACAGCTCCTGACTACTGTCCAGGCTGCCTGTGTACGGCTTCATGAGCCATGGCATTAAGGGGTAGGCTGGGTCCCCAAGGATACATATAGGCATTTCAACATCCCCAACAGTTATTTTCTGGTCTGGGAATAAAGTCTCTTCCTGCAGCTTTTGAAACAGACCAGAGTTCCTGAAGATGCGAGCATCATGCACCTTTCCCGGCCATCCCACGTTGATGTTGGTGAAACGTCCCTTATGATCCACCAGAGCTTGCAGCACTATCGAAAAGTACCCCTTGCGGTTTATGTACTCGGCGGCTTGGTGCTCCGGTGCCAAGATAGGGATATGGGTTCCGTCTATAGCCCCACCACAGTTGGGGAATCCCATTGCAGCAAAGCCATCCACTATGACCTGCACATTTCCCAGGGTCACTACCCTTGATATCAGCAGATCTTTGATTGCGTGGGCTACTTGCATCACAGCAGCCCCCACAGTAGATTTGCCCACTCCAAATTGATTCCCAACTGACCGGTAGCTGTCTGGCATTGCAAGCTTCCCCAGGGCTATCGCCACTCGCTTCTCAACTGTGAGGGCTGCTCTCATCTTGGTATTCATGCGCCTCAGGGCAGGGGAAAGCAAGTCACAAAGTTCCATGAAAGTGCCCTTACGCATGCGAAAGTTTCGCAGCCACTGGGAATCATCCCAGACCTGCAACACTATGCGGTCCCACCAGTCTGTGCTTGTTTCCCGAGCCCAGAATCAGCGTTCCACAGCATGAACCTGCCCCATTAGCACGATGATGCATGCATTGGCAGGGCCCATGCTTTCAGAGAAATCTGTGTCCATGTCCTGATCACTCACGTGACCGCGCTGACGTCGCCTCCTCACCCGGTATCGCTTTGCCAGGTTCTGGTGCTGCATATACTGCTGGATAATGCGTGTGGTGTTTAATGTGCTCCTAATTGCCAAAGTGAGCTGAGCGGCCTCCATGCTTGCCTTGGTATGGCGTCTGCACAGAAAAAAGGCGCGGAACGATTGTCTGCCGTTGCTCTGATGGAGGGAGGGGCGACTGACGACACGGCTTACAGGGTTGGCTTCAGGGAGCTAAAATCAACAAAGGGGGTGTCTGTACATCAAGGAGTATTTCAGGCAGGACTTCACGGAGGGTTCCAATAAGAAATGGTGCACCTAAGTTATCGTTCTTATTGGAACAAGGAGGTTAGCCTGGCCTCTGATTGATACATGGCTAGATTTACCTCGCTGCACCTTCTCTGTGAGTGACTGCAGTGTGACCTAGAGGAATAAGTCCCCTAGACAGGGGAGGAGGCAAATGAGTACAAAACAAATCTGGTCTATTTCCTGTTTTGACCCACTCCATCTATCTTTTACATCTTTGGCTGGCAGCAGACGGTGCAGAAGGACTGCATGCCATCCGCATCTCATGGCTGCTTGGCAGAAGATGGTACAGTACGACTGCTAGCCATCCTCATCTCTTGCCTGCCTGGCAGAAGATGGTACAATACGACTGCTAGCAATCCTCATCTCTTGCCTGCCTGGCAGAAGATGGTACAGTACGACTGCTAGCAGTCCGTATCGCCTGCCCGCTCACCATAAGACGGTTCAATAGGACTGACTGCAGGACTAAAGAGAATGACCTGGTCAAGTCACTCCAAATTTAGTCCCTGCACCCATGTCTGCCCAGGCGCTCCCAGCCGACGTGGCCAGGAGCACCTCGGACACGACGAGGATGACTACCAATCGTATTGCACCGTCTGCTGCCAGAAGGCAATGGGTTGCTGCTACTGTGCAGCAAAGCCATACCGCGTCTGCCAGCACCCAGGAGACATAGGGTGACGGTTACCTGAGCGGGCTCCATGCTTGCCGTGGAATGGCGTCTGCACAGGTAACTCAGGAAAAAAGGTGCGAAACGATTGTCTGCCCTTGCTTTCACGGAGGGAGGGAGGGAACGGGGGGCCTGACGATATGTACCCAGAACCACCCGCGACAATGTTTTAGCCCCATCAGGCATTAGGATCTCAACCCAGAATTCCAATGGGCAGCGGAGACTGCGGGAACTGTGGGATAGCTACCCACAGTGCAACGCTCCGGAAGTCGACTCTAGCCTCGGTACTGTGGAAGCACTCTGCCGACTTAATGCACTTAGAGCATTTTCTGTGGGGACACACACACTCGAATATATAAAACCGATTTCTAAAAAACCGACTTCTATAAATTCGACCTTATTCCGTAGTGTAGACATACCCTTGGAAACATAATCCCAGCGCTACATACAAAATGATGGGGGTCTAAATGTGCTGCTACTCAAGACAGAGATCTTGGAGTCCTTGTGGATAATTCTCTGAAAACATCTGCTCAGTGTGCAGCAGCAGACAAAAAAGCTAATAGACTGCCAGGAACCGTTAGGAAAGGGATAGATAGTAAGACAGAAAATACCATAATGCCACAATATAAATCCATGATACACCCACACACCTTGAGTACTGCATGCAGTTCTCAGCCCATCTCAAAAAACCACAAGCATATTATCATTGGAAAAATACAGAGAAGGGCAACAAAACTGATGAGGGGTATGAAACAGCTTCCAGGTGAGGAGAGATTAAAAAGAATTGAACAGTTCACCTTAGCAAAAAGAACAGGAGGACTTGTGGCACCTTAGAGACTAACAAATTTATTTGAGCATAAGCTTTCGTGGGCTAAAACCCACTTCTTCGGATGCATCTAAGTCTCTTAGTCACCTTAGTCTCTAAGGTGCCACAAGTACTCCTGTTCTTTTTGTGGATACAGACTAACACGGCTGCTACTCTGAAACTCAGCTTAGCAAGGAGACAACTCGTGGAGGCTATGATTGAGGTCTATAATCAGGAATGATGTGGAGAAAAAGGGTTATTTATCCTTTCACATGAACCATTCATTCATCCAATGAAATGCATGGCGGCAAATTTAAAACAGACATAAGAAAGTACTTCTTCACACAACACATAGTCAACCTGTGGAACTCATTGCCAGGGGAACTTGTGAAGGCCAAAGGTATAACCAGGTTAAAAAAACAATTAGATAATGTGATGAATGATAGGTCCATCAATGGCTACCTAGCCAAGATAGTCAGGGACACAACCCCATGCTCAAGAACAGACCTGAAACAGACTTTTGATTCACCAAAAATTCAGGAACATTTCAGATTTGGTTTGCCAAAAACTGAATTTTTTTCCCCAATTTTTTGGAACTACCACCAAACCAAAATATCAGTTCTTCACCCTGCTCTACCCAGGGTCCCCTGCTTGGCTGAGGGGACTTGCAAGGAGAGATGTCACTTACTGCTTGTCCATTCATAGTGAGACCATGTCATTAATAGCTGTTTGAGGGGGGCCTATGTGACATGAGCTGCTAGACCCCACAGGGCAGGCGTTTGCATCATAAACACAAGTGGCCCCTTTGGACAATGCAGCACAGTGGACTGTGCATATTGATAAGCTGAGCAAGGCTGGAGACGGCATCATCCCTGTCACCCCCTCGAGGCAGTCTGGCCAGGGTAAAGCAGAGCAGGGTGCTCTGCGAAAGCTGTGTCTGAGTCCAGGACTCCCATCTCCAGGCCTGTCTGTCTAGCATCTCTCACCAGTACTAAATGCACAGGCAAAGACAAGCTGAGCTGAATCTTCCTTTCCGTTAAATCAGCTGTTGCTTTAAGTAGGACAATAGCAGCGCCCATCATAACCCGCCTTTTCCATGCAACATGTCGGGATTGTAAAGAGCAGCAGCCCTTCAGCGGTGTGTAGCATTCTGGGAGCTAACTGGACTCAGGGTGCAGTTTGCAAGTCAGCCTGGGCACAAGGCAGTGGGCATCCCCCAGCAGGTCTCTGCCATGAAGCTGGACACCAAGCGTAATGCTTAGAAGAAGCCATTAAGCTGTGCGGGGGAGAACTTTGCAGCCACTCCACTGCCTTGCCCTGACACTAACAGCAGCCAGCACAAATGGTTCCAACTCTTAGCCATGAGCACTTCGCTGCTAAAACAACCCATGAAAAAGGCAGCTCAGGGACTGTCCCTTGCAGCTGGCTGGGAGATGCTTGGAGCTGAACTTGGGGTATTTCACTCTCAAAGCAGCCCTCCTTTCCCCTCGGCCCTGCCCACTTGATGGAAGAGGGGACCAGCTGGTGGGGAGGGGAGGACCCCTTAGGTTTATAGATAATTCTCACAGGCGCCCTGGGGAAATCAGGGTGAAAGGCGACAGAGGCAGCAGCAGCCCTGCTAATGACAAGGACCCACCCCATCTATCAATCACAGGGCCGGGGAGGGGCAGTGACGGACATGAATAGTGTCTGGGGCACACAGCCCCTGGCAGACGTTCTCTCTGGATACAGGGCAGCCAGCATGTCCACGGGCTTTGCGCAGATGTGCCAAGAGCTTAACACGATGCTCCCATGGGAGGCTTCCCTTGTGGCCTCTGGCAAAACCTAAATTCTGGGGGAGCAGTGTGTAGGGGGGGGTGTTGCAAAGGGGAGATTGAGGCATTTGCTTTCTCCATTTCATCAGGATGATTTCCCCACTGGCAGAAGGAGGGCAGGTGGAAACAGGCTTAGATTAAATACCTTTTGCTGGAAAGGCTGATACTTTATCCCCAACCCATACAGAGGGTATTGATGGTACGGTACAGGGTTCAACAGGTGTACAGTTATGTTGCGGGTTGGGGAAAACCTCCTGGCAGCTAATGGGCATAACAGCCTTCATTCAGGATCCATGCAAGAAGCACATCCACTGCTTTATGGAGTGAGATAGCTGAAACAATATGAGTCACTGCACAGCCACAGGCAACTTTCCAGGCTGCTCAGGAATCTGAGTTATGTGGGCGGAGGGTTTCACTGGGGCGGAGTGTAAATGCAGAGGGCTGGGTGGGTGAGGTTTATGTGCATCTGAGAAAGAAAGAGAGAGAGAAGCACACAGAGAAAGCAGCAAGGGAGCCTCAGAGAATCAGGGAAGTGTGACCCTGGTGAAAAGCGTAGGGAGAGCTTTTGGGCTAAGTGCTGGCTGGAAAGTGGCTTGGAACGGTGAGCAAAGAAATTGTCTCCTGAAGAACAGAAACTGTTTGATTCCTGCTGTGTTCAGGGAAACAGGACTCTATGATTTTCTCAAGGCTACAGAGGGAGTTGGTGGCAGAGCAGAGAACCAAACCCAGAACACCTGAGCCCCAGGCCTGTGCCTTAACCACATGGCGACCCTTCCTTCCCCGAGGAGGGGGACCTCCTGTGCTGCTTTGAGTGCGTGGGTGGGGGCGGGCACTAGACAGAGCCCCCAGGAGGTGGGGAGCAGAGAGAGAGATGGGAAAAGGGACACAGGTGGGGAGTAAGGATTTAAAGAAGAAACAAGAGTGAGAGAAAGGGGCAGGTGGAGAGAGAGGAAGGGAGAGGGGGAAAGACTCTCCACTGCTTGTCCCTCCCATCTGCCTTCTTCCCACAGCCACCAGTGGCCCTTGGCTCCCAAACAGGCCCTAAGCAGGTGTGAGGCACAGAGTGAAGGAACCAGGTCCCCCTTCCCCCCATACCACCCAGAGCCAGCGCACCCTGCTTCCTGTGGTACATCTGGGTCTCCCCTACCCCCACCTGAGCAAAGTGAAGATGTCAAGAAAAAAGGCTCCAAATCGGATTGACACCCATTGCCCCCCTTAATAAAGTTTATTATCAGCCGGTCTCTAATCCTTTTAAATCCCCCACAGCGGGGGGAGGGCCAGGATTAGAGGAGGCCAGCGTAATCCCAATGAATTTGTTATAGGAGGATTTAGCCAGCGCCAGGGGAGCAGATGGCCCGGGACCAGCTCTGGAAAACAACCATTTTCCTTAATGATTTGTAACAAGGATAAAAGGGCAGGAGAAATGGGGCCAGCAGCTCTGGGGAGAGGTGGGGCATGGGGAGAAGGGGGCCACAGTGCAAACAAGAGGAGGCAACATCAGTTCATTCAATCCCTTAGAAAACAAACCAAGACAGTCAAAGCCCCAGCAAGATGCACAGTGGGGAGGGAGGACATGCTGCCTGCCCCAACCTCCACGCTCAGCATCCCGGGAAGAAGCACACGCCCATCCCTGGAGAGAGGGTACTAACAGCACCTGGTGACAACAGTGCCCAGCATGCCCACGGGGAGATGGGGAAAATGGTTTCTGGTGTTTCCTCACCCTACATCCAGGCCTCCCCCCCCCCACACACACACACACACCCCATTTGGGGCAAGGGCATTTGATTGCCCTGACAGTGCTGCAGAGGAGCCCATACGCCAGGGCAGAGCCCCCTCTCAGGTGCCGCTCTGAAGCGAACTGTTGAAAGGGACCAGAGGCGGCCAGCCCGGAGGGAGGGGGAGAGAGAACTCCTCTACTTCCCTCCACCACAGCTCCAGGAGCAGGGGCAAGCTTCCCCCACCCCACTAAGGTGCCTCACCACAACCTGCAGGACTCCCGCTAGGGTGGGCGGGTGGCTCAGGCTAGGAAGCCCCATCAGGATCTGGCCTGTGCTGACAGTAGTGACATGAATTGTCCATCAGGAGCTGAATGGAGCCCCACCAGCTCAACGGACACAGGGCCATGAACAGCAGGCAACCAGGTGTGGCCCTGACAGCCCCCTCAAGTAGAATCAAGCTGGCGACAGGTGAATGGCTCCATAATCCATTAATAATCCTCTCCTCTTTCTCATTCCCTGCTCATCAAGGACCAAAGACACCTGCGTGCTAGTCTCATATTCAGGAGAACCACCTGCAACAGCCAACCTACTGCTCCAATATCAGGGCAGCACTGCGAGCACCTGGCAGCCAGGGAGACCAACTAGAAACGGCCAGGTGAGGTGCCTGTGCTTAGTTCAGTGCTGCTGGGATGCTAAGGGCTGGAGAGCAATGGGCATCCGAGTGCCTTGGGCTAGTCTCCAGCCAACCAGGATGGAACTCTGAAAACAGCTGAGCCATCCTCTCTCTGCCAGGCCAGGCTAAGTGATGCAAAGCTTCTGCTGGATTCAAACCAGGCAACAGGGAGGGAAAGGAAGGCTATTCCTGGCCCTTCCCGGGTGGAGTTGGTGCATGGGGGAAATAGGACTTTAAATTCCTTTGGGACAGAACATGGCAGAGGGGAGCAGAGCGGGGGTGGGGGGTGGGAATCAAAGGCTATGCTCCTTGTAAAATGGTTGCTACTTTAGATGACAAATGATGCAGTGTGGTGCCTGGCTTTGAGCGAAGGCTTGGGTATGGAGGGCCGATGCACTGGAGGATCCTGCACAGACAGAGGAGATGTAGGGATGTGCATGGATTTCTTTTGACAGAGGGGAATCAGAAGTCTTTCCTCAGATCCCCACCCCCAAGCCAAGAACGTGGTCAGTAGCACACATGCACTAGGGATGCAAAAAGAGGTGGTCAGAGGGCCAGGAGGGGGCTAGTGGAAGGAGGCCAGGAACAGGAGGCACAAGGAGAGGTTAGGTGGAGAAGAGATGAGTAAAAATGACATGAAGGAAAAGTGGGCTGGTCCCTAGCCCACTGAGCTCCTTGGCTGGCCCCACTGGAGTTCAGCAGAGAGGGTCACGCCCTGTGTTGCTGTTCTGCATCACAGCAGTTCAGACCCACACTCAACACACTTTAGACACACGTGATCCAACAAAGCAGAACATTTATTAGCAAAAATAATTTATTCCATTAACACAAGCAGCCACCGCGTTCAGAGACCCCAGTTCCTTCTGCCGCAGCAGCCTGGCACCGGGAACAGAGCACAAACCAACCACCACTTTGAAAGTGAAGAAAATGAAACCAAACCAATCTCTTGTGACAAAACTACAGAAAAATGTTTCTCCTCCTCCCATCCTGGAGCAGAGCGTTCCACAGATCTCAGCCTGGGGGCAACACACTGAGGTAAAGGTCTAGGTTGGGGCAAGCCGCTCTGCCCCTTACAGCAGACTGGCTGAGATAGATAATGATGCAGCACCCCTCTCCCTTCCCAAAGGAATCTATTCTCTCCAGTGACACACAAAGACCCATAATGTCAGGCAACATGGAAGGGCATGTGTGACCCCATCATGTGATGTCAGAATTCCTTTGAGTGGCTATTTTCCATTCACAGACACCAGCTCATCAAGGACCAGGCATGCAGGAAGCCACTCCAGAGGGTTGAGGGATGCCCATTAGTAGCTCTGAGTGGGCTAGCATAGCTCCTCATGGGCACAGTCCTGGGAAGCTCAGATACATTCCAAGCCCCATCCAAAATCCAGCAGCCCAGCAAGCTGGTCCCCCAGCTCCAGCCTGTAGATGGCAAAAGGAAGGTAACCTAGTGAAAATCAGGGAGGAATCCACAGGTGATCTCAGAGCCAATGTTTTGTAGCTCAGGAGTCCAGATTTTTTTAAAAGGCACATTTAGGAAAGGAGCAAAGAACTCATCTATCCCACTCTGGGCTTTAGAAACATCCCAGCAGGCTTAGGTCAGATCCATCAGGACAGCACAAGCCCAGGGAAGGGAGAGCCACAGGAGCCTCACCACTCCCAAAAGCAAGTCCAGGCCTCACTGGAAGAAGCAGAGAGGCTCAGGGCAGGAGATGTTCTCAAGCACCAAGTAGGGGATGGGGAGAGTGATCATAGGTTGCTCCCCCCCATACCCCATATTCCAGGGCAGTCCCCATTTCCAGGCACCAGTCCCTCCCCTCCTCCTCCCCAGTTTTGGGATGCAAAAAGAAACAAACAAAAAAAGGGGGGGGGGGGCGGAGATGATAAAAACCTAGCTCTTGTCCACAGGGGGGCAGGCTGGCTGTCACCCATTGTTGCTGTAGGAGCCCCGCCAGTGGTGGTGTGAGTACAGATCGGCTGCTAGCATTTTTACAGCTATCTGACCTGGTCAGATGCCACGGTGGCAGAAGCACAGGCAGCCTATCTACATTGGCTTTCTGGCTGGCAATGGAGCACAAAACCACAGCACAGACAAGGCCTTAGAGCAAACCCAGCAGGTCCTGTAGGGCAAGGTTTGCAAAGGTGACCAGTGATTTCAGATGTTAAACTGGACATGCCTTGAAAGGGGCAGGATTTTCAGCCTGTGACAGTCAGGCCCTTTCGAGGCCTCTCAAGCAGGCTGAACAAAATCCCTGGTCACTTTTGAAAAGCTTGGTCCTAACTTGTAACTAGTTGGGTGCACCCTTTGAAGAAAGCCTACGGGTACCTGGGGTTACTTGGATGGTACCAGGAGCTATGTTCAGAACAATCAAAAAGAAATGCTCCTTCACCCACTGGGCAGCCAGCTTCTGGATCCCACCAGCCCAAAGGTCATTTGCACAGTGCTAGACAGTCCCTGCCCTGCAGACCTCACTCAAAACAATGCACAAACCAAAGGACAGGATGGGAAGCCACAAAGAGCTGGCGAATGACTGGGGATAAGTTAAGCAACTCTTGCAGTGCCACGATTTGTATTAGGATTCCCTTTCCTCAGCTCAACGGTGACTCCAGTACAATGGGTTTCACAGAAAGCTTGAACAAAGTGACAATCATCTGCAGGCCGGTGAGGTGCGCTAACACCAGGGGTCAGAGATCAAATGCTCCGGGCTGATGGTGCTCACTATACAAGGATGTGGGCGGGGATATTCCCAGGACTGAACAAGCACCCAGGTGCATCTGGGTGCTGGGATTGCGAGACCGAAACACAGTACCCAAATGCGTGGCGGGAACCCTAATCGAGGCGCCCATACGTGCATGCTGAAGCGGGTGGGAACAGAGAGGGGTAATGGAGCAGCACAAGACTTCCTGGTATGTTCTATGGCTTTTTATTGTACAAGGGGAATTTGGCTCGAAGGCTGGCCCCACCCAGGGTGCCAAAAGGAAGAGTTCCAGTTTCCTAAACACTATAATATGGGGGGGGGGGGAGAGGGGAAAAGCTCCCCACCTCCTCCCACTTCTAATGTTAAAGCATGAGGATAGCAGCAAATCTGCCTGACAGGCTTCCAGAGAGATGAGCGTTGGCCCGAGCATGGCCCCAGCAGGTGAAACACAGCACAGGCTGACACAGAACCCTGCCAGCACTAAACCCCCCCCCCCCCCACACCCATACTCAGGAGAAGGCTGGGGACAGCCTCACCCACGACAGGCCAAGGTGGCCCAGAACTAGATGCTCCAGCAGAACGGTCTGTATCCTTTCCCACCCACCTCTGTGCCCAAGCGTGCTCTGGGCTGCAGGGAGGCTGGATGTAACAGCTGTTCTCATTTAACACAGCGACTCCTCCCCTGCGAGCCCTGAACTTCAGAAGCCAGATGCCAATGGGTGAGTCTGACCCCTGTGGCCATTTCTCTCGGTCTCTCTCACGAATGCAGAGCCAGCATAGGAGGAACCCAAGAGTGCGGAGCAGGTGGTATTTCAAGATAGGATTGAGATGCATTAGTCTAAGGAGCGCAGTGGCTCGTGACACAAATAGTACATGGGGCGGGGGGGAATGTTTCAGGTCAGGATTAAGGTGAACTGGCTTAACTCTGGCTACACAACTTCCTCAGCACCTGTCTGTGTTACGCATATCTCTAGCCAGTGGCACCGCAGTCCCTTATTTGTGGGGGGGTGTCACCTACACTGAGCATAGTGCAAGAGCACCTTGGGGTGAATGGATTAGTGATCCTGGCCTACAAGAGTGAAGGAATCATCTGGCAAAGGGAAAGTTCTGCACCCTCTGGGGCAGCCTGGGCGCTTGGGGCTGGATTCACCTTCACCACGGTGCAGCAGGAAACAGTACCAGGGCATGCAGCTGTGCTATTCCCTCTGCTAGCCTTGCACCCCTGGGCTCTCACTGCTCCTGGAACTTAGGGGGCAGCCTCTGACAGATCAGGTTTTCACTCTTTCCCTGCACTCCCGCTGCAACTCAGGATGAGAACTCGCAGAGCAGGACTGACACGTAGGCAGGAAAGCCCAGCTACTGCAGTGGTGATGGGTGTGCAAGCTCTCACAGCATCCCCTAACCCTGACCACGTCTAGAGGCAAGTGATGAGCATCACATCTGAGCCCATTCAACCCTTTCCTTCTCTGCTGAGAGCGCTAAGGGTGCAGTTACTGCTGGGGGCTTTCTGTGGCGGGGATCCCGCTGTGCTAGGAGCTGCATTCAGCCCCCCTGCATGGAACAGCTGCCAGACGGCAATCGCCACTGAGCCAAGATGGACTAGCGATGGGGGCAGAGGCTGTGCAGTACCCCTACACCATCCTGGCCCCCTACTCAGTGGTACCAGTTGGTCTGTCTGACCGGTGGGAATTTGGAAAGGAGTCTGATCTAACTCTTGGCCCAACCGATCACAAAACACAAGAAGCATTAGTGACCCCACAGCGATCTGATCCTTCCACCGCCCAATGCCTATATTAACTAAGCCTGGCTGTCCCAATTCCCCCTCCTCCCCCGCCCCAACTCTAGTGGTTTAACCCCAAAGGGCTAGTTCTACATGGTGAAAACTGATAGCGTAGCTGGAGCTGTAGTACAGGCCTGGTGTGCGCTGAAGAGGTTTTGAACCCAGTTCAGAAAGAACAGGTCTGGCCACCTTCTACACTGCAGCTCTAGCTCGCTTTCAGAGGGGTGGTAAGTTCCGCCCAGGGCAAATAAATCAGCCCAGAGAGACACGACTGATCAAAGGCAAACTGCTCACAGCCCCAGACCAGAAAGGAGGCCCCCCAGTCCTTATTAATGGCTGAGCTACTGTAAGCAGGGAGGCAGCTAGAACTCCCCCCCCACCTCTCCCAGTTCACTCCGTCCTCCAGCCCTCCACCCCGACCCGAAAGCGGCTCCACTCGAGGTCTCTGAGGAGCTCGGGTGGCTTGGTAAGGCTCTTGGATCCCTGAAGAACACCCTGCCACATCTATCTGATGGGCGGCCCCATGTCCATGTAGCCAGCAGTGGTGAGATCCAGAAACTGTCCAGCTGCACCCACTGCCCTAGCAACCCTTGTGGAGAAAGTCTGATGCTTCTCCAGCCACAGAGCCCCGGAAGGAATCGTTTGCACTTGCCCTGTACCATCACCCCCACCCTACCAGCGCCCCCGCCAGCCTCAAGCTGTGGGGAAGCCGGGGCGGCCCTTGCGGAGCCTCGTGCGCATGCGGAAGAAGGTGTACATGCCCAGCAGGCACATGGAGGAGAGAAAGTATAGGACGATGCACAGGCTGAGGTCCAGGCGGGAGAAGCCCACTCCCAGCATGCGGAACCAATGGTTCCTCCTCAGGGCGTCCCCTTCATCCTCCTCCAGGGCCCCGATGAGCTGCTTGGAGCCCCGCCCCCGCCGCCTCAAGCGCTCCCAGGCCGCGGCGTAGTCAAAGTCCTGGTGGCTGTCGTCCGCCAGCAGCAGCGGGATGGTGTCCCTCTTGCTCAGCCGCCACTGCTTGTTGGCCGCCACGGCTGCAGCCTTCAGGGCTTTGCTCTTGTAGTGCAGCTCACTAAAGTTGTCCAGGTCCACAATGTCCTCCTCCAGCTCCTGTGTCTTGGGGTTCATCCGGACGATGCTTGGTTTCCGTGGCCCTGAGGAGCCTCGTCTTTCCGAGCCACCCACCTCCATTCCCACCCCTGCGGCCTCTGGTTCCCCTGGTCTCCTTTCTTCTCCTTCGTCCTCCTCTTCCTCCTCCCCTCTCCCATTATCGCCTCTCTCTTCCTCCTCCCCTCTCCCATTATCGCCTCTCTCTTCCTCCTCCCCTCTCCCATTATCGCCTCTCTCTTCCTCCTCCCCTCTCCCATTATCGCCTCTCTCTTCCTCCTCCTCCCCTCTCCCATTATCGCCTCTCTCTTCCTCCTCCCCTCTCCCATTATCGCCTCTCTCTTCCTCCTCCCCTCTCCCATTATCGCCTCTCTCTTCCTCCTCTGCCTCTCCTCTCTCTTCCTCCTCACCCATGGCCCTCTCTCCAGCTCCCTCCTTTGCCTCCCGGCTGTGCCTGACCACCAGCACCATCTCAGGCTCTGTGTAGTCTAAGATGATGTTGGCCGGGGAGAAGTGGGCCTTGAGGAAGCGCAGCACGGCTGCCTCGTCCCACACGTGGCGCCTGTTGACCACGCCGTGACACAGAGGGCACAGGTCCGGGGGAGGCCACTGCAGCTTGGGGAATTCAGGGTCCTCCGTCTCGGTACCTGGATAAGTCAGATGGAACAAAGGCCTCAGATACAGTCCCACCAGAGGCTCCAGCAGCAGGACGATCCCAGTACAATAACCACAGCATTTAATACCCTCCCAATGAGCCCTGAAGGAAGGGGAGTAGCCTTTGTGCCTTACGGATCTTACAGACACACCCCAAACCTGCCCAAAGCCCTCCAACCTTAGCCTGCTCGCACCTTGCTAGTGTGAGACTCCCAGCAAGGGGCGCAGTTCCAGAGGGGTCTGCACATCACCCTGACTTGGAGGTCATGCACAACTCGCCTGCAGGAGCAGCTCTGTTTGCTCACTTGCCCTTCAGCCATCCTGGGGGTTAGGGAGCGGGCGTGTAAGAACCCCCAGCCTACCCTAGTGCCAAGAACAGGCTCTCGTAGCCGACAGCTGCAGCCCTTGGAAACTTGGGATTCTCCTCTCCACCCCCTTGCCCCGCAAATGACCAACCAGAGCAGGGACAGTCACCCCACAATGGGACAAATGTCGGCAGGTTCCCCCAGGCTTCAATGGGCTCTGCCCTCTCCCTGGCAGAGAGTCCCTGGGTGTCAGCCTGGGCCACATCCTTGGGCCACGGGGGTTCCAGGTGAATGCTGTGAGCTGGAGTGGAGGGTGCTATGCCCCCCTGCCAGGGGAGGTTGCACCAACAAGCAGGAAGTCATTCCCCGCTTCCTTCCCCTGCCCAGCCACTCTTGCTCCCTCTTCCTTCTCAGCTGCCAGCTGCTTTCGTCCCAGCTCCCCTGAATTTTGCTCTACAGGGGGAGGGGCAGCATCTGCATGCGAATGGAGCATTTGGAGAATCATCTTGGGAGGAGGGTCCTCCCAGGGCACATGGCAGCTTTTAAAGCCCCCGGTGGGAAGCCAGATAAGATTTAACTGCTTCTCTGGGGCAGTCTCTGGCTCAGCACCACCAGCTGCCTGTTCCCTTCACCTCGGGGGTCTGCGATCCCTCCCCACGGCCTTCCACCAGACCCCTGCCAGGCTGCAGAGTTAACCCGTGGCCGCCCGCCTCCTGCTTTCAAAGGAGAAATGAATGAACAAAGCCGGCCCGTGGCGTGCAGGCAGAGCGCTCTCACAGCTCCCTGTGCCCCAGGCTTCGCCCTTCAGCCAGCTTCCCCTGGGGTTATCAGCCTGTGAGAAGAGACGTCCCCTCCCTGCGCAGTGGTGGCAGGGCAGGCATGGCGTTATCGGGGAGCTGAGTCAGGCCCGGCCTGTGCTTTACAAGCCGGCTCACAAGGTTCATCTCAAATTCCAACCCCCCCTGCATTCAGCTGTCCCCATGACCCTGTCCCCCATCCCTCCTCAGATATGGCCAGAGGGTCTGGACCCCCTGCACTGGGGGCTAAATTCTCCCTCGGGCGCCTCGCACCCCTCCTTCCTTGGCCAACGCCAGACTCGCCAGCAGGACCCCCCCTTACCTGCCAGTCGAGCGTTGACCCTGTTGTGTCTTGACCAAAGCCAGAGGACTGCCTTGTCCACGCTTCTCACTTTGTCCATGGACTCCGCTGCCATGCCCTCAAAGTGCTGAGCGCACTCCCGGCAGCCAAAGAAGGACCAGACGTAGCCGCGCATAGCGCCAAGGACCTCGAGGGGGCCTGGAGGGGGAGGCAAGACAGCTCAGCTGGGGAAACCCTGGCACGCTCGGCTGGGGAAACCCTGGCGACTCAGAGAGGCACTGCGCCTGCCAGGTTCTTGCCAGAGTGCTAGCAATCCAAGGCCAGGTGGGTCCACGGGACCAGCCAGCTCAGGATCACAGCACCACGGAGCAGGGGGCCTCAGCTACACTGAGAGGGCTTTGTGGGGCCCAGCATGGGGCTTCCAGTGGAGTGAGACACGCTTAGAGCATTCAGCCCCACCTGCACTGGGAGGTGTTGGCACAGCACCATGGGACACCACGGCACCATGAGCCAGGCTGGGCAAGGGGATCCTGAGGGAGACCAGCAGAGACGCCAAAGGCTGGCTCGGCAGTCGGACTTGTATGTCCTGTTTAAGACACATCCCCTGTGACCCAGCAGACCCTGGGGCTAGTGTTCAGCTGTCACTAGAGAGCCACACTACAGAAGAGCTAGATACTATTGTTGCTAGCTGTTGTCTGGTGCTCCCTGAGCCAGAGGGGCTGGCTGAGCTGAGACAGCAGCGCCCTTGGCCCTGGGGCAGGAGAGAGCGCCATGCACAGCTGACTGACGATAAGGTGCTAAGATTCCACAAGGGAGCACGACCCCCTTAGCCGGCTGGGAAGCTCAGCACTCTGACCCACGCGTGGGAGAAGCGGCAGCCAGCCACCTGACATGAGAGCAGCAGAAGGTTCCTGCTGGGGGGATCCAGCAAGCCACAAGATACAGGCTTTAGATACAGGCTCTAGGCATGCAAGGTGGGGTGAGAGGAGATTGGGGCATTACAATGGGCCACCTAGTCTGGGGCTTACCGACGTCCTGGCTACGGGGGATGGACGGAAGGGCTTTCCCAAACAGGGAGTACAACCCTTCTAAAACCCCAGGACTGCCTTCAGCTTTCTGGCCTAAGCCTACCTCCCCTCTCCCCATCCCATGGAGCAGCAGCTCCCGGAAATTCCGAGCTACAGCCAAGGGGAGCTATCATGGTGATTCCCATACCCCTTTCTCTATGGTCAAGAGCTAGATCATCCGGCACATTCAAAGTGGGACATGCACAGGGTCACCTGTTTACCTGTGCCCAGCCTGCGGTACCTAGTCGCCTGCACTGTCAGGAGGTGGAAGAGGGTCCAGAGGGAGCAGGGGTAGCCTCGGAAATGAGGTTTGCTTCCCTGGCAACCCACCCATGTCATGTTGTTCGACAGCACTTCCGGGGCTTGACCCTGATGGGGAGAGAGACAGGCAGACAAAGAGTAAACCTCAGGGCTAACACGGGAGGGCAGAGGAGGGAGAGCAGAAGGGGACTGAGAGAAAAGGATAGGGGAAAGCAAACACGTGCACATGCCGCAGGGCTAAAGGGAAATCATCTCTAAGTGACCCACCTCTTTTCTGTTGGTCAAGACCCGCTCCAAGGCACTGTAGGGAATCCTTGATTCTCTCATGTTCCTCAGCCACCTGTCCACAGAGCGCAGGAAGTTCTGGACAAAGGGGCGGCCAGGAAAATACTGCGGCAAGAACAGAGAGAGGAGGAAATACATTTAACGACAAAAGCCTTGCTACCCATTATGGCCGACGTGAACCCAGGCGCAAGAGACATTTCTGCTTTGATTCCAAGGGACATTTTGAGACCTTTACTGAGCATGCAGGCTAATAGGACACAAATCATCCTACAGCGATAAAGTCAGGTTTTTAGCAATACTATCATGTTCCAATATGCCCTTTGCTAGCCTCTCCCAGGTGGGAAATGGGGCGAGACCTGGATTGTGGACAACTCTCGGCGACTGCAATGCCAGCCTCTCCCAGCAGTCGTCACTACAGGGAATGGTGCAGGTGCACTGGTTGTGGGGAGCTCACAGCTACGCTAGTCTCAGGCTGTCCAGCTTGGTATGAAGCCTCCCCCTGCAACAATCCAAGCAGCCAGCACTGGGAAGCCCTTTCATTTGTATTCAAGCTGCCACCATTGTGAATAAGTCAGTCCTGTGGGCCAAGAGCCAAGATCCAAATCTCGATCGTAACTCCAAATAGTCTCCGAGGAACACGAAAAGCTACTTTGACAATAAGTCAACACAAATCCGATTAGTATCAGCACTTTAAAACCGCAAGCGCTTCGGGGGGAGAGCGAGTGATGGGGAGGGAGGGTGGGGAGACCCACCTCAGGGAGAAACACAAAGAGAGGAGACAGTGTAGGTGGGTAAAACCAGGAGCGGGGGACCCAGGAAAGTGCAGGGGGCATGAAAGAAAAAGGGTCTAGCCTCCATGGACATCCCGTTATGCTAGACAATAAATAAACACAGGGAACTGACATTTCTGATGGGGAGCCCCACCCCCAATCTCCTTTCAAAGGCTCCTGTGGGATACTGGAGATTTGGGGTGAAGTTTAGCAGGTGACCCGTTTTAAAATAAAGGCTTCTCTCCCCGCAGGCCTACCCGTCTTTCGGAAACGTGAGATTTAAGGATCAGAGTCTGGACATGCAGAGAAGGAAAATTCCCTGCAACTGTCAGGAATGTGGGAATCCTGGTGACATTGCTCCGTCTAGTGGCCTAAATCTGAAAGAACACCTTGCACTGAGCACAAAACTGTTTCCTCTAGACTATGGTACACACCCAATCACCAGAGGAGGAGGCAGAAGGGAGAGAGGTTGCAAGAGAATCATTCCCCTCCCCATCTATACCTCCACACACACCCATTCCCCTTCCCCCCCACCCCACCCCCCATTCCCCTCCCTACCCACACACCCATTCCCCTTCCCTCGCACCCACACCCCATTCCATCCACACACAGCCACACCCCATTCCCCTCCCCATGCACCCACACCCCATTCCATTCCCCTCCCCATCCACACCCGCATCCCATTCCATCCACACACACACTCCTCTTCCCCTCCCCATCTATACCTTCACTCACACACACACACACACACACTCCTCTTCCCCTCCCCATCTATACCTTCACTCACACACACACACACACACACACTCCTCTTCCCCTCCCCACCCACATCCCATCCACATCCACCCCATTCCCATCCCCCGCCCCCAACATCTCTGAGCTTTGCAGGGAGGGAGGGAGGGAAGTTGGTGAACTGGGTTCCTTGTGCTATTTCAGTCTTGGACTCTGTTCCCTGCATCTGAACAGCTTTGTCTCCTAATCTGGAGCTGACATTACCAGAGCTGCCTGACACCAAATGCATTTCACAGTATAGACTGGTCCCCTGAAGCTTTCAGAGCCTGGGGGACTGGTGTAGCAACCCCCGCACCCCCGACACACACACACACAGCGCCGCCTTTCAGCTGTCAGTGGGTTGAACACAGCCTGCACTCTCCTGGGGGATTGTATTTTGAATGGGAAGGTGGCAGGGTGGGGTATTCATTTAACAAAACCTTCCGTGCTCAGGAAAATGGGGGAGACTGAGAGCAACAGCTAAAGCCAGGCTGCAAGCAGGCTAGGTGTTAAGCAGGCTTCAGCACAGCCATGCCAAAGCACCTCAGGCCTGACTCACATGGCCACTGGCTATTCTCGTCCTGCCCTCCTGACACACTCCTTCCAATGCACCTCAGTCCTGCCCCGCACCATCCCCTGCTAGTCTAACTTCTGGTCCCTTCACAGGCACAGCCTGCCAGTTTTGTTAATCAGGCAGCAGCTGGGCAATTAGGGAAAAAGTAATAAGGGTCTAAGCTGAGAACCCAAGACTCATTGCACTAGTGACCCACATTTAGATGAATAGATTTTAAGGCAACAAGGGACCATTACAACCATTTATCTGACCTCCTGCATAGCGCTGGCCACAGAACCACACCCAGCAATCTCTGCATCAAGCCCAGAACTTGAGTTTGAGCTAGAGGTTCTCCTTTAAAAACACACCCAGTCTCGATTTAAAGGCTTCAAAGTGATGGGGAATCTACCCTGTTCCCAGATAAGATGTTCCAGTGGTGAATCACGTTCATTTCCAGTCTGCATGTGTTTAGTTTCTGACCATTGGATCTCGTCAGCCCTTTTTCTGCTTCATTAAAGAACCATCTATGATCAGAAATGTCTTCCTCAGATAGGCACTAACTCTGGGGCTGGAGCACCCACGGGAAAAAAATGGCAGGTGCTGAGCACTCACTGGCAGCCCCACTACCAGCACCTCCCCCAGTGCCTCCTGCCCGCCGGGGGGGCCCTGCCGATCAATGCTTCCCCCTCCCTTCCAGTGCCTACAACAGATCAGCTGTTTTGTGGCATCAGGAGGTGCTGGGGGGAGGAGTGAAGGCACAGAGCACACAGGGGAGGAACTTGGTGGGGCGGGAAGAGGAGGGGCGGGGTGGAAAGAAGCAGGGTGGGGATGGGGCCTTGTGGGAAGGGGTGGAGTGGGGGTAGGGCCTGGGTGGAGCCAGGGGGAGCATCCCCCTGCAGATTAGAAACTCGGCGCCTATGCTTCCTCATCTTTTAGACCAGGGGAGGGCAAACCACGGCCCACGGACCAGATTTGGACCATCAGGGCTTGCAATCCGGCTCGCGGGATTGCCAGCCCTGTGGTGCAGCGGGGCTAAGGCAGGCTCCCTGTCTGCCCTGGCCCCATGCCACTCCCAGAAACAGCCGGCACCACGTCCTTGCGGCCCCTGGGTCGGGGGAGAAGGGTTCTGTGCGCTGCCATCACCTGCAGGCACCGCCCCCTGCAGCTCCCATTGGCCAGGAACAGGGAACTGCAGCCAATGGGCGCTTCGAGGGTGGTACCTGCAGGCAAGGGCAGCACATGACAGAGCCGCCTGCCCCCCCCCCCCCTAGGAGCCACTACTGGACATGCTGGCCACTTCCAGAAGTCAGGGAGCCTTCCTTAGCCCTGCTGCACACCGCTGCCACTCCGGAGCCACTCGAGGTAAGTGGCGCCAGGCTGCACCTCAACCCCCAGCCTTGAGCCCCTCCTGCACTCTGCACCCCAACTCCCTGCCCCAGTCCTACATTCATGGCCCTGCATGCAATGTCCCCACCCAGATGTGGCCCTCGGGCCAATAAGATTGCCCACCCCTGTTTTAGACATAATCAAGTCATCTCTCAGCCCTCTGATGGAGAAACTAAGACTGAGCTTACATCTCTCACTATAAGGCACATCTTCTAAACCCTGAATTATTCCGGCAACTATTTTTGGAACCCTTTCCAGTGTTTCAAATCAAACCCAAGTTTCCAAAGGAAATGGACTCATGTGCAAGCCCAAGGAGTCCAGATGGAGACTGCACATTTAGAAGAGGTCCTTAGTGGTCCCTTGCTACAACAATCGCATTGCATCCCACGTGAGGAGAGTTCTTTCATCCTGTGGAAGAGGATTTCCAAAGGTAAGTTCTGAAGGATTGTATAGGAGACAATATACGGCCAGCAAGCCACATATCTGCCATAGCAAAGCAGAGGTCCCACGACACTTCAAAGCCACTCACTGCAGAGGGCATTGCTGTGTGTGTATTTACCGGTGCAGCCAACGCAGATGCTTAAGGTAGAGGTGGGAGCAGGAGGAAAGAAGTTGCATCAAGGTGGGTGGGGGGGAAGAACCAGCCACAGAGGTGCCTTCTTGCCGGAGGTTCAGGGGGAAGTGGCTACGGTGAATGGCTGAGCATGGGTGGACGGGGTTTCCAAAGGTGTGGTTCATGTCTAGGCTCAATGTGATTGGCCACGTCACCAGCGAAGGTTTGGGAAGGGCACATATAATTTTCATGCCCAGCCCAGGGGACGATGCAATTCCTATTTCCCATTTATCTAAACAAAGGCCCCGTATTCACAACCAGGGCTCAAGCGGAGTTAGGGACTAGGGCCAAGCAGCCATAACTGAGGGGGTTTGTTAGCGTTCGGCTCAGGCAGAGCTGCGCTCAAGCCAGCCAGAGTATCGTCACAAGGGCTGCTACGCAGGCTGGAATGCGGGATATGCAAACGGCATGGAGACAGGCTTCCCCGGAGCCCTGTTCAAGCAGAGCGTGTGAGGGGATATGCCCAGCTTCATTCACTGCGGGATTCATTACCAGCCTGCCGCTCCTCCAATCCATCCGAAGGGGAGGCCCAGTGACTGCCACAGTGGCAAGTGAGGCCCCAGCAAAAGCCCCGCATCGGCTTTCAGCATGAGGGGGCTACGGACCGCCCAGACCTTGCCTGGCTGATGACTCCTTAGTGCTCACCTTGGCCAGCACTGTCACAAAGTCTTTCAGGGCTCTCACGCGCTCTCCTGTTAGGACAGAGAACCGGGCCACCTCTACCCGCAGGGCATAGTGCAGCGCAGACTCCAGGTCAGCCATGTACACCTTCGAGCTGGAGAATGGGGGAGAAAAACAAGGCGTTAACAACCGGCTGAGCCTGCCTGCACAAAGGGAGTCCTTCGCCCCTGCTCCAGTGAGGGACCTCAGCTGTATCCCTCCAGGATCCGCCTGGGAGGAGGAGACCTCTCATTACAGCTGCGAGTCCTGGCCCCTTCTCCCACAAGGGGATGACAGAATTCAGTCATGACCTGCAGTCTGGCTTCATCCCCAGAGAGGCCAAGGTTAACTCAGTCTCCAGCTTCATTCAGTCCTCAGAGGGCCCTCCGCATGGCGCTCACCCCAGTGGGGCTAGGGTTGAAGGCGCCTGCTCTCTTTATTTTGCAGCAGCAAGAGAAGCAACAATGGTTGTGTTTTACACCACTCCTCAGGTCCCCACATCACAACAACACCAACAGCAAAGGGCCTGCCAATCCACAGCTAAAGCAAAGGAGGGACAGCGTGCAGATAGAAACGGGGGGGAAGGGGCGGGGAGAATACACCAGGACCCCAACACGGTACAGACGCCAGCAGGATGCGCCCCACCACAGAGCCTGCAGGCCTCCTCTGGGGGGAGAAAGGCAATGACCTCTTCCTTCCTGCAGCAGGGCAGGGGAACACCTCCAGCGTCCCTGGCCAGCGAGGTGGGCTAGGGGGAAGGGATGGGGCAAGGAGCAAGCAGCATGACCACATCTCTTCCTGCCGCTGACCCAGCTCACAGCCTCACCCTCCAAGCATAAGCCCCCTGCAGTTCCTGGGGAGCAGCAGCCCAGACCTACCAGTGCCAAGGCCCTTACGCTAAACTCAAACAGCAGCATCCTGGGGCACAGGGAGCCTGTCCCTCATTGTGGGGCTCTGGGGAGAGTCACCTCAGTATTTGGGCTTTGGTCATAACTTACTGCAGAGTGAAGCAGAGCCCTGGAACCATCTCGGCTACTTACAGAGCCCCACTAAGACAGGTTATCACCTCCACCCTCTCCTGGCTTCCCTGTGCCCCAGACTGTCCCAGACACAGGTGATCCTGTGTCTCAGCAACCCCTGGGTGGCCATCATCTTCATCTGTCCCAATGCCAATGCTCCACAGAGCCAGGGAATCCAGGACAAGAGCCGCTTGTTCTGGATTCAATCTCCAGTTCATACCGGCACCTCAGTAATGACTGAACTCAGAGCCAGGTTCTTCACTGCTCTCCACTGACCTGGGGTGCGAGATCACAAGCTGCCACCGTGGCCTGCGAGCACTTTCTCCAGTCACCCTGCCCTGCGTCACCTCTCCTGCACTGCATTGTCTCTAGTCCCACCCAGCAGGGTAAAACAGGTGAGGCTTGCAGCACGGCCTAGATGTTGACCGGCCTCAGCTCTGCTGAACGGGGCATGCGTCCAAGAGCAAGTTCCAGAGCAGAAGGTCCCTCTGGAGAAAGCCCCAGCCCCCAGCTCCCACCCTTTCAAACCAGGGGGCCTGTCAGCTCCACCGATCACCCCTGTAATGTAAGGGAAGGTGAGGACGACACTCTAGGATTTCATAGGCCAATGCCTGAAGGTCCACTCATAAAAGGCAGCCAGTGCAGGCCATGGGAGCACAGCTGCTTCACACGCCCTTGGGACCCAGCATTAATAAGCAGCAGGCCCATCCCATGCTAACTTCAGTGTCTGAATGGTGCCACCCCACACAGAGCACAGCGCGTGGATCTCACCGCCAAGGGACAACTGCACAGAAAAGGGCAGGAAAGGCCCAGCCCCTCTCACCAGATGGCAAGAAGCTGTTGCTGTCTGAGCATCCAGCAGCAGCTGAGAGCAACGAACGAACCCCTGCCCCAAACTGCAATATGGTACCCACGCTCCTCCGGCTCTGCCACTTTGGCCAATTGCTTGCCCCGGCCTTGGCGTCATATCCATCATTTCACGCCTACCAAGCTACCCTCCTCCGACTGCCCGTCCCTCTGCTCCCCTTGTCTACACATGCTCCTGCTAGCCAGGCCTTCTGGAGCCTCCCACAGGAAGCATCAAGTTCCCAATGCCGGTCATAATGCTGGAGGCCCAGAGCTTACTCAGCCAAGGGAATGGAGCGGGGGTGCGTGGACTGACAGGAGCGGGGGTGCGTGGACAGACAGGAGAGTGGGACCTGCTCACCGGTCTGCAGGCCTCCGCGGGGTGAGGGTCGACTTGATCGGCGTGTCTGGCGCGCTGGTCGGCGCGTAGGGGCCTCGCGTGACCCCAGGCAGCCTCCGTAGGAAGTAGGTGTAGAAGGATCGCGCCGCCATTTTCCTGTAGGGAAGGAAATGGGAACACGTGATAGAAGCCTCTTCCACTTGCACAGGGGGTCACCTTTTCACCTCCATTAACCTTTTTATCACCACGAACACAGCTGCTTGCGCCCCTGAGGTATGTCACACGCAGGCAGGAGGCCAGACATCTCCTTGGGGATGGGAGTGGAGTTCCTGGCATAACAATGTGCGCTGTGCCCATCTGCTTCCCCACTCCCATATACACCGGCAGGCCCCACATGCCCAGGGGGTCTCCTCGGGTGGGAGAGTAGCTGCACAGTTAGCCGTGTGGCCCCAGGGCGCCCCCAGCTGGTAGTGGCCTCGCTTGAATCACTAGCTCCCTGCTCCAGCTGCCTAGAAAGGGGACGAGGTTCTGTCCCTGACAGGGGCAGAGACATGCAGATAAGCCAGGCCTGGAAGGGGAGGGGTTTGCCTCCTTGGTCTGGAACTGCTACCTCTGGCGCTTCCCACTCCCTGTGCTCAGCCCACGCGCCCCTCCCTACTGCTCCCTTTGCCTCTTTCATCCGTCCGCAGCTATGCCCCTCCGCTCGGCCCAGCCAAGCTCCCCGAGCACCCTGCCTGGTCTCCTTCCTAACATACAGCCGGAGCAGTCCTGCTGCCATCAGCCTGAGCCTGCTCCACACAGCCCCACTCCTCTCTTGGGACTGCCCTCTCTGCAGGGCAGGGTCTCTGCTCTCCGCTCCTCCCACCACCTCTACAGACACATTCTCAACAGCCATCAGCATGTGCCCTGAAGCGTTTGACAAGGCAGAGCCAGCACCTCCTCTGACTGCCAAGACTAGGGACCCACTGGCTGCAGTGAGCGTCCCTAACGGGCCTCTGGCCGGGGGAAGGGAGAGCACTGGAAACCAAACCATCTATATAAAGAGAACTCAGGTTCTGACTGGGCACCGCGTGCGTTCCAGGCCAGCTGGCATGAGGAAGGGCATGGCTCTCATGGGGATGGGCAGCCCCAGTTCACGCAGCCATTCCCCCAGCTTCTCTCTATCCCTTGCAGGCTCTTCCTCGCCCTTCTGTGGGGAAATTCCCAGTTCTGCCAGTGTGGGTTTTACCCTCTTGGAATCAGTAACGCCCTTTAACCTGAGAGCTGGGGGTACGGATGCACTGGGATCTGTGCAGGATAAACCCAGCCTGGCAGCCAGGGGACTGTGGGAGGTTTTGCTGTCTCACAGGACAGCTTGGCAAGATGGAGGGAGCAGGGGGTGGAATGCAGGACTCCCTACTTAACCCACACAGAATGAGCAAAGCTGTCAGGCTCTGAGAGAGGCAGCGGCAGGAAAGCCCAGGAGAGCCAACAGCGAGAAGCCATCGCTTTCCGCTCTTTTTTCACAGCCCGATGTTTGCCCGCAAGCAGATGGTGGAGAGACAGCATCGTCACAAGCAATTTTCCCCTCCACCAGCTCCGCGGCAAGGAAACAATGGCTCTGCTCTTGGGTGAAGCTGGCATCATCAGAGAGCAGCCCTCCTCCCGTCAACCTGGCTCACTCCGTCCCCCGCATGCCAAGCAGCACAGACAAGCTTTGCAAATGCCATGCTTCCCACTAGGAAAGACTCCCTGCTTGGCTATTACCCAGGCAAGCAACCCCTCTCCACGACCCTTCCTAGGGAAGCCACAAGTGTCTGTTTGCCCCCTTGCCCCACCACACTCTTCCCTGAACTGCCAGCCTGACATCAATCATCCATCGAGGGTGCGAAGGCACCATCTGGCTGCTGTTACACGTGCCATTCAGGAGCAGGAACCCACGAGAGGGGCTGAGTCCCGGTGCTATTGTTCTCTGCCAGCATTTCAGAACCAGCCATTGTCTGGTTCCTAATGAACTTTTCCGCAATTAGAAAACCAAGAGGGAGGAGTGGAGTGGCTGACTGAGGCGGGGAGAAGGTCAGGGACAACTTGACTCCCTGCCAGATTTGCAAAGTCCACTGATGTATTCCCCAGCCAGCAAGACACCTGCAGGCTGGGCTGAGTTTAGAGGGGCTTTCAGCCGTTTGTAGCTGTAGCTTGTGGGGTAGTCCGGGGAGGAAAGCCACACACAGCATCACAAAGCCACATCCAGTGTCTCAACAAGGGGGAGCAGCCCAGAACAGGCAGGGAAGTTTGGAGATGGGCAGCTCCTGGACAGGAGCTGGCCTTATCGCTGTGGGATCTGCCCACCAGCACCAGGATTCACACCCCATCCCTTAGGGAAGGGTCCCATGGAGTTTAGCAGAGAACAATATTCTCTCGATAGACTATTTCGAGCCAGAACTCTCCGGCCAGGATAGGAGAGGAGCTGCCATAAAACCCTACGGGTTTTATCCCTATCAAACTCCACAAGATCTCTCTCTAAGGGCCATGGGTAGGGGGATCCGCGCACAAGCACCGAGGTTCACACTCCCAGCTTCAGTGCAGCTAATTCCCTCCATCATCAGCCCCACAGTGCCAGGATTCATCCTCCCACTGCTTAGGTACAGGGGGATTCACCACCACGTCTGGGTCGCAGCAGGGAAGGACTCACACAGGGATGCGGCTGAAGGTCCCATTGTTGATGAGCAGGAAGCCGGAAGGGAAGGCAGTCACGCCATACTTCTTCACTAGCTCCTCCTCGCTGCTCAGCACTCTCCGGACAGCGACGTTCTCGTACTGCAGCATGTCCAGTGTCACCTGCAAGGCAGCACGCTCCATGGGTTAGGCTAACTATGGAACAGAACGTCCCAGGGCCAAGCCCGCTTACAACGGCTCTCTCCTCTGGGGGGTGGCATGGGACGCTCATGGCTGCTCCAGCTCCAGCCCCAGCCTCTACCAGCAGGAGTCGGGACACAGCACTGAGGGAACACTTTACGCCTCCCAAACCATTGTACAAACATGGCCTGACCCTCACAACAGCCCCGAGAGGTGGAGAAGTAGGATCTCCATTTTACAGACAGGGAAGGTGAATCAAAGGGAGACTCAGTGACTGGCCCAGGTCAGTGGCAGAGCCAGGGCTAAGTTAAAAAAGGTGAACTTTCCCTGAATGAATGATGCCAGGAATTCCTGGCTCCCAGCTCTGTGCTTGACCCGCCAGACCATGCAGTTCTGGCTACAGGAAAGCTCACCACTACTTGAGCCTTAGCCTCACCTAACTGCAGCGCGTGGCACTTGATGGCTATGGAAACTGGAAGGGATATAAAGAGTCAAGGAACAATTAACATCTTTGTATACGAACTCCTGAGGAGCCCAGGGCGAGAAGCAGAACTCGCCTCTACACCCATCTACTCAGACTGTAAGCTCTTTGGAGAAAGGGTCATCTTTTCACTACATGTACATACAGCACATAATGGGGCCTGGTGACATGATGGGATTAAAATAGATCATTGTTGCGGCCACTGTTATACAGTTGCAACAAATCTTGTACAAAATGTGTCATGTGAGGTGTCAATGGAAAAGTTATGGCTTGCTGAATATGATTATCCTGTTTGTATGCATGTATCATTTTGGTGTCTGAAGTTATGAATACTGACTATGTACCAGTATTTTAAATGTGTTTGCTCCTGTGGAAACACCCACAAGGTTGTTAGTTTACATCCAGTCTGGTCAGCACATTGTGAATGGACTAGTCAAGTTGATGGCCCACTGAAGGACACTTGCCTCACACAACAGGCCATAGAAGAAGCTGAGGATGCATCAGCCAGAATATGGGTAATGGCTGCTCTGACTCATCGAAGCATGCAAGGACATGTGACTTGCTCCTGTGACCCTGAACTTCATCTTGTGCCTGGACTTTTCCACAAACTAAGACTGAGAGTTTTCCCTCCACATGGGAGAAAGTATAAATAACCCTGGTAGCCTCTCCCATTTGCCTCTTTGCTACTCTGAACTATGGACTTACACTAACAGAAGCATTCCAACCAATGGACTGAGGACCTTCCAATCTTTTGGATGTTACCAGAGACTTTATAAGCCAGAGTTTATTCCATCCCTGCTACAAACCTGATCCAAGAACTTTGCAATGAGTGTATGTATTTGATTCCTTTGACCATTTTTACTCTCACCCCTTTCTTTTCTCTTATAAATAAACCATTAGATATTAGATACTAAAGATTTGGCTACAGCTTGATTATTGGGTAAGATCTGAGTTATAAATTGACTTGGGTATGAGACTGGTCCTTTGGGATCAGAAGAACCCTTTGGTTGATTAAACTGGTTTTAAATAACCATTCATCATAAAGCCTAGTGTCTGGTGGTGAAACAAGGGCTGGGATACCTAAGGAGGCTGCATTTCTGGCTTCTGGTTAACTAGTGTGGTGAGACAGAAGTTTACTTTTGTTACTGGTTGGTATATCTTATGGAAAGGAGTGAGTCTGGCCCATTTCTCAGCAGTTTGTCCTGAATCCAGCATCCTCAGCTGTGACCCACTGAGGCACGGTGACAGGCCACAACCCAACCTGATGCTACAGGAATACAAATACTGAACCAAACAACAATGCCCACCTCTCTTCCCATAAAGGAGTCGTTCGCTTCGAAGATCAGTGCCAGGTACATGACATTGTTTGTTTGAAAGAACCCACGGATCTCCTCTACGCTACAGGAGGAAACAATGAGGCATTCTCAGTGACATGGAGTAAGCAGGTGAATGCGCCAGCCCCAGCAGCTCCCTGCCAGCACAGCACACAGCAGCTTGGCAAAGGGTTGGGTGTTTGCCCTTCTAGCACACAGCTGAACCCAGCTGGATTTGTTGCCCAGGTAGGTGGCCGAGATCAGCTCTGCTTATCCACTGTTTAATTCACATGGAGCTTGCCGGCCTGGTTTTCTGCTTCACTTCACTGGCTCTATGGTAATCTGCCAGGGTCAGCCAAGGAACAGGAGATGGGAGACTGTTTGTGGAAGGACTTGAGGTTAGAACCCTATCTAATGTGAAAGCCAGCACTGAGACTAGAGCCAGACCGGTTTAATCAGGACACGGATCGGGTCACATTAGAGACAGCCTGAACCCTAACTCTGAGCCCAACACTCCTGCTCTTGGGCAGTGGGGTTTAAAATGAAACCCCCAATTTCCCCTGTGGGGCATCAGACGGTGGGGAGAGCCGGAACATGAGGTTGGAATGCTGGAGTTTGGCTGGGGTTCATTTCCCCATCCACACCTGTGGCATTTGATTAACTCTGCCTGTGGCTTTGCAGTTTTTACTTGGGGGGGAGGATAAGTGCCTACAGAGCATCAAGAGGTGCAGTAAATCCACCTTTGCCGAGGAGCAGCGCTGTGCATGGCACAGAGTTTGAAGCCGGGAGAGAGCAGGGGTACAGAGACGCATCTTTGGAAGGAGGGGGCCTTGCTGGGGTGCAGCCTGGAATGCTCAGACAGCGGGGAGGAGAGGGTAGACAGACACCTGCAGCGTGGTGTCTAGCACCTGGTCAGGGGCTATCCTCCTGCTCCTCCATTGAAATGTGGATGGGGATGGCTGGTGGGCAGTGCAGCTCAAACCCTTTTGTTTAGTCCAGCCCAGCCAGACCCAGTCCAGATGACTCAGACCCAGGAAGAGCCAGGTCAGTCCCCTTCACAGGCACAGAGGAGAGTGCAAGGATGTGGTTACCTCTGGAAGGGGGTGTGTGTGTGCTCACAGACTTCCCCCGGCAATCACCAGATGCAGATCTGAGGAGTTTCCTTTTCATCGCTGATCTGCAAGCTGCCTGTCTGGCTTCACAGATCCATTTCTGTCTCCTGGTCTAACACCTTTCTCCACTGCCACCAGCATTAACAGGTTGTAGCCACAGGGGCTTTCCAGCGGGTGCCCCGCACTGAACTGTACAGCAGAGTCCTGGCTGCTCTCTAGGTCTGGCAGGTAAGGCTAAACGCTCCCGGATCTTACGCTAAACGGGCAGGACTCAAGCCAGGGCTTTCAGTCAGGGAGGAGCCAGAGGGCAGCAGTGACTCCAGGTTGCAGGGCAACTTTAGGATCTAAGGACATGGAGGAAGACCAGGGACAGCAGTGGGCACGGCACCTCTGTGCCACCAGCCATTCCCCCCCCAGCCATGACGTGGACCATCAACTACCCCAGACACGTGCAGCCCAGGGGAAAGAACCCAGCCTCCTGCTCCAAACGCTCACGGGGCATCTGTTTGCTGTGGGCAGCACTGTGGGCAGCAGAAGGGCTCATCTGCCCTTCCCAGGCCGTCAGCAGATCTCATTCGATACAGCAGAGGCCACCGACACGTCCCCCATACAAGCAATACAGGGCATGTCCTTCCCCCGGTGACGAATAGGAACAGCCTCCACAGCAGAGTCGTAGTTACATGCAGGTGTGTTAGATACGAATCATGGGGAAAAACCTTGCAGGTAATGGAACCCGCCCCACACTGACAGCTCTGGACGCGTCACACGGGGAGATACACGAACGTTACCGAGGAGGCAACTCAAAATGTCTGTGCCCATTAATCCCTGGCTAAACAGCTGCCTGCTTCGTTTGGTCCACGTGCTACTATCACAGTCACTCCAGTTAGTCGCTCTGGCGCCAGGCCATCAGGTCTGCTCACACCTCTGCAGTGCATGTCACTGTCCTGAGAGTAACCGGGAGCCTCCTAGGGATCGCCTAGGCAAAGTCTCCAGCCCAACCCGCAGGAATTCAGTTCCACACAATGACAGGGATTGAACCAGGGCAGGCCCTTGAATAGAGTCATCATCCACATGCGGCAGAGGTCTCAGGGCAGGACTGCTCCTGGAGGCCCGGTTAAGCATGAGTTCATTCCTTGTCGTTTCTCTCACCCCAAGCCCCCTCAACACACTCTCTCACACACACAAATACACAGAGTTACATTCTGCTATTATGTCCCCCTCCAATAACCTGGCTGGTTCCAGTGGTGGACAGGCAGGTGGCCACGTCTCCTTGTGCATCTCCAGGTTGGTGATTATGCTCTGCCTCAGGTTCTGAATGCTGTCCCCAGGATCTGTACGGGGAACAAAATACACAGAGCTCACCACCAAAGCACCATGCACAAAAAGCCAAGGACTGTACCCAAGGTAACAATGACCCATCCCAACCATGCTGGACCCCTGCAGCTATAGCAGTGTCACATGGAGACTGAGCACTACTGGACCATACTGTACAATATATCTCCAACCCACCCTGGCAGCCCCTCCAGTGGCTGGTTCGTGGCACATGGTAGAAACATCTCTTTTGCAAAGTTTGATATGCCTTATTCATTTATCCCCTGCCGGAAGATTCCCTGTCATGAGTCATCCTCCACCAACACCTCTTGCCCTCCCACCCTCACCTGGGGAAACCACTCGCTGACCACACCCTACTCTAGAATGCAGCAGGTGCGCAGGCCACAACGGAAAGGAAACCGCCACAGCACGGCGAATTCCAAAAGGGGAATCCAGCAAGGATTAAAGAGCCAGGAGGTTTTGGATACTCACGGAATATCTTCGTCCCGTCCTCAGGGCTCTTGGAGAAGGCCTTGAAAAACTGAAAAGAAACACAAGAGAAGAGTGTCTGCAGGATCATCTGGAGAACATTTAACAACATTCATTGCAACCCACAGAGCACTGGTGCGGCTGCATGGACCAGTGGTTAAGGCAACAGACTGGGATTAAGGAGCTCTGTATTCTATTCCCAGCTCTACTACCAACTTGATGGGTGATTTTGGGCCAATCACTGCCTTTCTCTGCCTCAGTTTCCCCATCTGTAAAATATTTACCTGCTTTGTAAAGTGCTTTGAGAAGTGGGACTGAAGAATGCTATAGAGAAGGTAAAGCTTATTACTTTCCCAAGTGAGTTTAATCATGCCTAATAATACTACCTAGCTCTTATATAGTTTTTTCAGCAGTAGATCTCAAAGATCAGTATCATTATCCCCATTTAAAAGATGGAGAAACTGAGGCACAAAGCGGCAAAGTCACTTGCCCAAGGTTACCCAGAAGGCCAGTGGCAGAACCAGGAACAGAATCCAGGCCTCCTGGGGTCCCAGTCTCATGCTCCATCTACTAGGCCTTGCCAATTTATAAAAGGTCTCTAGGCACCTGCAGAACAATCATTAAAACAGGCACAAACCACAATAAATAAATCGACCCAATACAGAATCAATGAAACTCCCCAGACACAAATCTGCTCAGCAGCCTACCCCACCTCCTGGAAAATGCCTCAGGGAGCAAACAGATCTTGCATCTAACCCTGAAGGGCAAACCCACATGCTGGCTCTGTCAGACTAAGCAAGGGGGTGGGAAGGAGGAGCGGGCATTCGAGAGTCAAGGTCTCTTCTCCAACTACCATCCAGACACACGTCTTGCAACCTTCCCACCAACAGCCCTCAGAATTCCTATCTGGGGGCTGTCAACAAGTCTGTCAGTGGATCTGGCCTGCAGGGATGGTGCACAGGTGCAAAACTCTTCTTGGTCTCCCCTCTCCAGATGCCAAAACTTCAGGGTTGCCCTGCTTGGCCAATTCTGCAGCACAATGAAAGTTAAAAGCATGTCAGATGAATGACATTTAATACCAAGGTCAATGGCAGGCAGGGTTCTGTGCCAAAGTACATCATTCATCTTCATATTTCAATCAGGGAAAGTCCACCTTTTTTAATTCCTCTGAAGCAGACAGAATTCCCAGCTGGCTTCCCTGGGGCACTGTGAAATGCAGAGATTGTGCTGCAGAATTTACATCACCTGGCTACAGGGTACATCGGATCTCGGTTATAGATCAACCCCAGCCCCATGAATGGCACCCATAATGGAATGGCTTGGATGACCAGGCTGTTTGGAGTGTGGGCGTGACATCTCCCAAAGGCCAGGCCTGCTCTGGAAGTGGGAAGCCATCCTTTGTCCTAGGCGAAGTCCCATAGTGCAGCAATGCAGTCTGGAGAGGACAAGTGCTCTGCTCGCTGCGCTCAGTGCAAGCTCCTCACCAAAGAAGGAAACAAAGAGCGCTCTCAGCTGCCACCAAGCAAGAACAATGGGACCCTTCAACAGATCCTTGTAAAGGCAGGCAGACTACCCCAATCGATGGAGCAGTTGCCCAGCCAGTCTGGATGTTTTCCCTAGACTACCAGCTTCTCCAGGCTGACCCTCTGCCAACTAGCCCTTGTCAGAGCCCCACTCTCAGCTAGACAGCGGGGAAGCAGAAATCACAGCCTGTCTGGATCCAATGAGTGAAAGGGGCAGAGCTGAGTGTCCCCAACCCACTGTCGGCATTGCACGCCAGCTCTGCCTCCCCCGGGGCCTGGTGTGCACGCTGGCCGGGGGTATGGATCAGAATCACTTATTGCAGGGGCAGGGCACAAGCGTGTGCCTACCATACGGGTGGCAGAGGAGGGATCCTTCCATGGAGGAAGATGCCCCATCCCAGCCTAGGGCTCCTGCCCTTTCCAGGAAGCTCTGTGAGGGTTCAATACGTGGCCATGTTGCGTGTGCCGGCACCAGAGCCTGGAACGCGGCAGTTGACTGTCACAGGGACGAGAGAGCCGCCGATGTTCCCATTGCAGTTATGGCGTTGGGGAGCATGGGCAGCAGACCCCACAGCCCAGCCTTGCTGCGGGTGGGGGAGAGGTCGCCATCCTGCACATGCCAAGGCACTGCAGCGACATCCCCACAATGGCTGTGTTCAGCCAGGAGGAGAATCGCCAGGCTCAGCCGTGTAAGGGTTGCAGCCCATTGGACCTAGCAGGTCCTGGACAGGGAGAAAGTCCTGCTGTTGGAGGAGCCAGCCAGGCTGACTGACCAGCTGCCTGTCAGCCCTGGGAATGGCAGGTGCGTGAAGCCCTGCCCTGGGACAAGGGCCGCAGCAAATTGGCAAAGAACGCAACGATGCCTCCAGCCCAGAGGAGGGCTGTGCCGGTGTAAAGGCTACAGCTCCACATGGAGGAGAGGAGCCAGCCACTCAGGCTGCTTATCGGATGCAGCAGCACCCCTGGAGAGCTCAGCCCCCTGAGCACAGCAGCAAAGGGCCAGCAGGGCAGGCGGGAGGGTTGGCACACGGGGGCTGCGTGGGAGATAAATGCCCACGCTCTCCTTTGGCCAGGGCCCAGGAACACAGCCAACTTCATACAGCCGAAGACCTCCCAGCCCTGGGGATCATTCATCCTGCCTCTTTGCTAGTCCCTTTAAAGGCTCACCAGCAGAGGGGAGCCTGCTCTATGCAGCCATGGCAGGATACAGGCCGCCCCACAGTACGGGCTGCAAACAGTCACGTGCCCTCTGTGTTTGATGCCAGCTGTGCAGCCTCCCCCCTCCCTCCATGCAGGCGGGGCAGCAGGATCAGTGAAATCTCATGGCAAATGTTTGCCAACCAGGCTGGGCTGGGAGTGAAAGCTGTTTGCAGAAGGTGCTGTGGAGGGCGGGGGGAGGACGACACAACACCAACCAACAGCCTTGTAGCACTGCCACATCAGCAGGTCCCTCTGGGCTTTGGGAGCCTTGTTGAAGACAGGCTCTAGCGCTGTACTTTGGGTCAGGCGAGGGGATTAGCCCATCAGGCCCATTCCTGTGGCACCTGAGGTAAGGGTCATTGCTCCAGCACTCGGTTCTACCCCGTCAACAGCCAATTAAAGTACCCAGCGGACTGAGGGGTCTCACAGGACCCCCCAGAGCGGAGAGCATCCCAATCCATACCTACTAATTTACCCCTAGGTTTGGAGCTCTTTTTAGGCTGATCCCAGGACTGTAATTACCCCAGGAGTCCGGGAAGTTTCTTTTTCCAGCCAGCCACAGAAAGGAACTTTGGGTGGATTTTTACAGTCACCCTCTTCTTGGCCACCAGCCCAGCCATAGGGCTCCCCCAGTCAAAGCTAGGGCAGGTAGGAGGCAGAGGTGGCCCCCCAGGTATGCAAGATGCTGGGGTTAGTGCCCATTATTACGAGGCCTGAGATGGCTCTTGTGCATCTGCCGTTTACCACACGCCCCGCGCCAGAGGGAACAGAAAACCAAACCAAAGGGACTTGACCTGTCATTACAGACCCAGACATGACAACTCTCAAATGTGAGATTTTTTTTTCCAGCCACCTCATTCTTTATTGAAATGATAATCTTGAGTGGCTACCTCTAGATGGCTTACTGCTTCCAAAACTTGATTGCTCACTCTGAATTCCTTTGAAATGCTTATTGAAATAATAAACAAAGAAGCTCAGCAAACAGACTCATTACCTTGTTAGACTTTGTCTCTTTTGAGAGGTGTTTCTGTCAGGCCCTCTTAATTGTTGCTTAACTACTCAGACTTCTTTAGCAGTTGTAAGGTGTATAGCTGGTACACCCGACTCCTTTAAACTTAGAATTTGATGATTGAATAATTTATTAAAATAAAGTTATTTTTGTAGTAATATCTGTGGGTTAAAGGTCACAGATCTCCACCAGCGAGGGGCATACATTAGCGCTCCCACAGCCACTGCCACAGGTGCAGCTATACCAGGGGGAGATTTTCAGAAAAATACAGCCCATATTTCTTGAGCTAAAGTAGGTGATGTGCAAATTCCCAAGTTGCTGATCCTTGATTGGAGCTGCTGATGGCTCCAATCCATTGACCCGAACAGAAGTTGGAACAGACCCTCACTTTGTTATCTTTATCGAAGGAAAAGGGCTGGAAACGAACTTAAAAAAATTTTAAAAAGCAAAAAAGAGATCAGAGATTCTCCTTTACATTTTGAAATTTCCCCAAAGCAGGAGAGCCCTAAGAGGGGAGTTTTGCTGGCCTTAGAGGCAGGTCTCTGAAGGTACAGGCCAAGGCATTTAAATAAATAAGCTCTTTTGGGACTAAGTCTGTGATTATAGACCCAGACATGCCAACTTGCAAGACACGTGATTTCTTAATAAAATTAAGCCTTACTCATCATCTCATGATAGAACTCTCCAATTTCAGGATTTTTTTTTCTTGGGGGTCACCTGCTCTGAAACAATGGAGGCCTGGCAGAGATTAATTACTGGGCAGGAGACAGGCAGATGTGGGGGTGACAGCACCTGTAACAGGGGCCAAAATCACCTTATCCAGTGCACATGGCAGAGCAGGCAACACTGATTGTCACATGCACACACCCTGGGGTTGGGTGGGGGCAGACGGGACAAAAATCAAGAGACTGATCTGAAAAACACATCTTTAAAAAAAAAAAAAAAAAACACCTCATGGATTTTTTGGCCTCTCTCATGATTTCTGATCTCTTGAAGTTGGCAATCCTGCAGACATCACACTGAAACATGACTCACCACACGGCTGGGGAATGGAGGGAATTGCTAGTTGCGGGCATTGAGTTGGCCAAATTCTGCCAAGCTGGGAGTGAGTGTATATGGGGGAGGAAGGTAGATGATGGCGTGAGGAGCCTGACCCCGTCAATGGCTCCATGCTACTGCACAAGGCCCGGAAAGTAAAACTCACCAGTCTGGTTTCACCACAGGGTTCATGTGCACCTGGGAAATGAGTGGCATTTTGAAACATGTCAGCTAACACGTTTGAATTAACATATTTCTAAACACCACTCAGCACCTGGTGCAGGGCCAAGCCCACCGTGTTAACATTCACATTACAGTGTATAAAGCCCTAGGATTAGCCCAACCAGCGAACATTCTTAAACATAATTGTCTTTGTCTACACTAGGTGCTGAGTAGTGTTTACATACCATGTTTGAATACCCCACTCATCTTCCCAGTGTAGACAAAAACACAGGCTGTTTTCACTGTCTAAAAGGGAACGAGTGTTAGCGATCCTGCTGCAAACTCCTAGTAGAAACAAGGCTCTTTAATTTTACTATGATGTAGCTAGGTGAGGTCAACCCCAGGTGGAGGGCGTACTGCTGACCTCAGCCAGCTACATTGCACTAAAAACTACCTGTCCCTTGTCTCCAGCAGGGTAGCTCCCATGCCTTAGTTATCCCACTGTCAAAAATCCCACACACCTCTTTGCCTGGCAAAGAGACAGCCAGAGATTTTGGTCCAACCGTGACTCCAGCTAGCTGACTGCCCCTTAACTCAAGTTTATGACTGGCTACTCATAGTCGTTAAGTGTTCGTTTCAGGAGATCTGACCAGGAACCAACACTAGGGAATGTCAACCCTGAAGTCTGGCATCTTGTTAGTTAGCTGGCAATCAATTTGCTTGGGTTACAGCTCAGCCAAAGCAAGCTCACCAGCTAGCGCAGAAAGTAAACAGTAAAAAACAAGTCACAGAATTCTTCCGGCTTCAAATAATCCAAAGGGTCACTGGAAACACACTGATGTTTGCTGAGAAGGACTCACTGACACTGTCTCTTTAAAGGACTTTGCGGGAACTGCACTAGGTCTGCCTCAGGAAACGTTTGCGGCAGAAGCATTCGAAATGGCCATATGCTGTATTCCCCTTTGCACCAGATCAAAGGCACCACACCGTCCTCCCAGCTGGAATGGATTCAGGCACTTAGAGTCCCCGTTCCTTGGGAAAGGAAGACAGCCAGGACAAGAGTCGTGCTGGGAACTTGAAGGGAGGAGGAGCGGGGACATTCTGATGGAGTCCACCAGACTCTGGTTTTGCTCTCCCTTACTACGACCTCAGAGACGGCTCATTACAGGGAGTCCCCAACAGAAATGCAAGAAAGAAAAACGGAGGGTACCTTTTACTACTCTGGTGCCATTCTCCTGCCCTGTGCATGTCTGGGCACTGTAAAACTAATAGTTAATATTTAAGCCCTGCATCTGAACTCCAAGTTATGGGAATTCATTGCCTGTTAGCAAGGCATCTCCGAGGCTTTTGCATTATTGCTTATGTTGGACTGGGCTTTGTTTGCATGAGGAAATATTTAAATTATATATGTTTACACAATTTCTGCTGGGCGCAGGACCAAGGGATGGAATCGCAATTCGACTGCCAATAACAACAGAGCCACCCAACATGGGAAGCTCTCAAAGCACTTAACAGATGGGAATGAAATCGCACAGCACCCTGGCAGCCTAGGGAATAGACACAAAAATTAAGTCACTTGTGGCAGACCCCCATGGTACTTTTTACAAGAGTTGAGGTGTTAGCTCCAGCCTCCTGGCCAAATTCCTCTGTGCCTCACTACATTCTGCCTGCCCAGATCCCCACAGCAATCTCACTCGGATATGGTATTCTTCACTGGCTGTTCTAGACGCCGGAGAAGGGATGCTGTGCACGGCTGAACAGCTGCTGTGTTTCACTCCAGAGGTGGCTGCATTTCAGTGCTGGGTGAAACGATTCCTACGTGTATGCCCAGGAATGTATTTGAGGTGCTATATAAACAGATGCAAGGTCAACATTCAGCTGAATTGACAGGGAGAGGAAACAATTAAAAGAAACAGGAATAAAGGAGAAGGAGAAGCAGGAGAAGCCACAAGAATAAAGTGCTCTAGGAGGCACAGAACACATCTCATACAGGAGTTGGTCCTAGAGCCCTGGGTTCAATTCAAGGCTCACTCCTTCCTCAGGGGCAGTGAGCTGCACATCTGGGACAAAAGCCAGCTGGGCTTCAAGTTCAAAAGGTTGTTGATTCCTAGAAACACACCAGTCAGGTTTCTCTCGTCATGCCACTGCCACTGTCTTACAGGGACAGAGAGATTGCACACACAAAGGGCTCTTTTCCCCGACTGGTGGTGGTCAACACTCCGTATCCCAAACAAACACTGTCTGCACTGAGATAAACAGGATGGGGGTGGTTTCAGATGGCTTATGGCCAATGCTGCCAAAACCAAAACACAGGCTGAGACCAGGACCACAGTAGAACTGATCGGGGGCCTCCTGGGGTACCAGCCCCATGGAATGTCACAAGGTGTGTCTACACAGCATTTTGGAGTGAGCCTCCCTGCTCCCACGGGTCCTCCCACCCCCCTGCTAGGCTTCAGACCCCGAGACTCTGTTCAAAGCACTCCCTGTGCAGGTATTTTTAGAGCATTGGTGTGAGCCCCACTGCAGAACGCTGAGTACACACACCCCTACAGACTGAAGCTGGACCAGCTCCGCTTTCCTGCCACTCCACTCCAGCCTGTGCTCACTTTACCTTCAACGTTGGGAACCCAGTTATCCCAAACTTCTTGCACGCTTTCTGATTGGCTATGTCAGCACAGTTGACGACGCCGAGGTTCACCGCGGGGCTCCATTCTGAAAGGACACACAGACAGACAGACGTTAGCGGACCTGAACCTCCCACTCCAGTCCCGGCCACTCTGCATTGAGAACAGGAGCAGCCGCTGGGGAGAGCTAACTCTGAATTCAAGTGGCAGCTTTTCCCCGAGAGCCTGTCACAGCTTCACTGCTCATGGGGAGACCCCCAGCCACGCCAGCCCCAGGAAATGGGGCAGGAGCCACTAGGATATGCTAGACGAGGACTAAGTCGGAGGAAGCCTCTGTTATACCATAGCTCACGGGTGAGCAAATTATGGCCTGGGGGCTGCATCTGGCCCTCCAGACATTTTAATCCGGCCCTCGAGCTCCCGCCGGGCAGTGGGGTCCAGGGCTTGCCCCACTCCATCTGGGGAGTGGGGTCGGGGGCTTGCCTTGCTCCGCACGGCTCTGGGAAGCAGTGGCATGTCCCCTCTCTGGCTCCTACATGTAGGAGCAGCCAGGAGGCTCCGCACACTGTCCCCACCCCAAGCGCTGTCCCCGCAGCTCCCATTTGCCAGGAACCACAGCCAATGGGAGCTGCAGGGGTGGCACCTGCAGATTGGGTGGCACACAGAGCTGCCTGGCTGTGCCTCCCCGTAGGAGCCAGAGGGGGAACATGCCGCTGCTTCTGGGAGCTGCTTGAGGTAAGCGCCTCCCAGAACCTGCACCCCTGACCCCCTCCTGGGCCCCAACTCCCAGCCCTGATCCCCCTCCCACCTTCCGAACCCCTCAGTCCCAGCCCGAAGAACCCTCCTGTATCCCAAACCCCTCATCCCCAGCCCCACTCCAGAGCCTGCACTCACAGTCGGAACCCTCACCCCCCACACCCAAACCCCCTGCCCCCACCCGGAGCCCCTCCTGCACCCTGAACTCTTTTCTAGACCCACCCTAGAGCCCACACCCCCCGCTGGAGCCCTCACCTCCTTTTGCACCCCAACCTCCAATTTCGTGAGCATTCATGGCCCGCTATATAATTTCCATACCCAGATGGGGCCCTTGGGCCAAAAAGTTTGCCCACCCCTGCCGCAGCTACTGCTCCCTACTGCAATTACATAATAGACAGCTGCCCTTCAGTGTATTGGAGTTGTTTCTACTTCTATCTCACTCCCAGACACTGCTGAGGACTGCATAGACTTCCAGGATTACCTACATATCCCTTGTGAGCAAAATCTTGCTCTTTCCACTTGGAAGAAATGCATTATGGGTAACCCTCCAAATCTTTCCCACAGTTCCATGGCCAGAAGCTGAATTCTATCCTCTTCCATTGCTAGAGCACTGCTCATCCCAAAGCACTTTCAACACTCATGCACAGGACCTTTAGAGCCACCAGTGAAATTCACGGTACGGCATGGCAGCCGTTTACCAGTGCAGAGTAAGCACAGAAGCTTAGGACAGGAAGCAGAGCGGCATGCTTTACACAAGTCAAACCACTTCATTTATATAGGACCAGGAATGCGCAGGCCACTTCACAAGCAAATGCTGTGGGGGTATTTTAGGACTGGCTGAATGTAATGCTCAGAGCTGGAATCCAGTCAGGAGACTGGGGCTCAAACCCCTTTTCTTACAAAAAGTATTCATGTGGGGAGCGGGGGAGTCAGGAACTCAGTTTTCCATCTCTCCCACCCCACTGCCCGTCTAGCTGTCCAGTGACACAGCCACCATGCTGAGGCAGTGTTGAGATGCTCACCTAGGAACAGTGTCATCAACAACGCTTCCTGCAGCACCCGGCCTTTTCCTCGGAGGGCTCATCTCCAAGGACAGCCCAGGCCCACTTGGCTTGCCAGCCACAGTTTGAGGGTTGCAGGGAGTGAAACATGAAAGCATTGCAAAGAGGTGGATAATACTACATTGCATGTGTGCACTTGGGGGCTGAGAGCTGAGCAATTCACGCTGTGCTCGGCATTCCCCCCACCCGCAAACTGGCATCCTCACTCTGGCCCCCAGCATCTTCTCTCTGGGCTGCAGTCATTGGGTGAGGATAGGGACCCCAGAACCAATATACAGCTCAACAGAGCTCACAGCTTCTCCCCCTCCCAAAAGAGAAGCCCCCTAGACTTTGCAGAGACAGGAATCCCACAGTAGTCATGGGTCAGCGCAGTAAACTCACAAGTCTCATCTGTGGGCAAGGTGCCAGGGAGGGAGAACTGGGCCCTTTTGTTCCAGGGACCTTGCCTCCTCCACTCCAGGCACAACAAGGAGAACGCCCTCCTGGCCCTTCACAGTGGCAGTGGGAGACCGGAGGAGGAACACAGGGGAGAGCAGCTCCGGCCTGGTGCCAGGGGCAGAGCTGGGCAAGGATCCAATGTAGAGCTGTTAATCCCTCTTCCATAAACACTGTGGCTCAGAGGCTTCTCTGGCACCAGCTGTGAGCCCAGAACACTCTCTCACCCTCCCCACATGTTGGCACAGGCAGGTCCCTACTCCCCAACGCATAGCAATGCTGTCCTCACTCAGACAGGCCAGCTCCAGGGTCCATCTCACAGTCGGTAGTGCACAGCTGCTCCATCCATGCCTCTGGCTCCTCCTGACATCATGGCAAGTAGCCCCCGCGCGTTTGTTTGAACAGAGCATCTTGCTTAGGAAACTAGACCCTGCATTCACCTCTGGAGACCCCTGGGGATCCATTCTAAAATGATGCTTGACTAGAAAAAAATCCACCCTCCTGAAAACTCACAACTCAGCTCTTCTGAGCTGTGAGCAGCAGCCAGATACTTGCAGGCGCCTTCCAAGCACGTCTGCATGGGACAGCCCACACCTCAGAGGGAAGCGTATCTGACTGATACAGCAACTTCCTCCATTTGCTCTGGGGTCCGGTCCATGGAACATGCTCGAAAGGACGGGAACAGGAGCCAAGAGCTCGGAGGTGGTGGCCACAGCAGGGATGGAATACAGTGGCATCTATTAGCTATTCTTCTGGCCATTGCAACCAGGTGGCTACATCAGCTAGTGTGGTTGATATGCAGGAGCTCTGGCAGGGACAGAGGTGTTACTGCAGTGCAGGACAGGCAGCCATCAGCACAGGTCACACGGTACTATTACTTGTGCCAGCCACACAAGAGAACACTGTGCAACAGCACGGGGGGGGGGTTGGAGTCCAAGGGAAATACCAGCCCCAGCCCCACCCCACCCCCAATATACTCCAGCCCTCAAATCACTGCACAAGCGCCACTTGCAGCTCTTAATTTAAGTAGCAGTTCTCTGCATTTATTGTCGCAGCAACCCCTGCTGGCCATTTGAGGACAAATGCAGTGCTCCAAAAGGTGCCCGCTCCCAGCAAATGAGCACACTGGCAATGATGCTGCTATCTGTGCTTGAAGGAGCAGGGCAGGTGTCAAGGCTCATGCAGACAGTTCCACAGGGCAAGGAGGAGCCAGAACCAGGGTTTGGGGCAGGTTGCCCTTTAGTTGCACACCCAGGCAGTGCTGGGGTGCTGGGAACGTTCACATCCTTTACTCTAGTCTCTCTCTGCAGAATCCCCAAGATCCAAAACGCAACATCCCTTCCACACAGCACTGAATAGATCCCAGCCATTGAGAGCTTCCCTCCTGTCTCCACAGTCTGCTTCTATTCAGCTCCTCTGTAGCCATGCTACAGCTGCTACACAAGGACTGTGTCGGGGCTCACTAGAAACCATCCTGGCATGCACACACTGGCCGTGGAAGCTGGCCTCACAATCAGACTGAGGGGTGTTTGCCTCTCTCTTATTGTGTGCTGCCCTGGGGATGATCCATTTGAAAGCACAGGGCTTTCCTTCCAGGTGGGTTTCATGCTCCCCGCCAGTGGACATAAAAGGCTCAGCTCACATTAAGGCGGCAGATGGTTTAACACACATTTTGGGTGGAGAAAGCCAGGAAAAAGCAGCACTAGCAAGAGCCAGGCTAACGCAGACAAGCGCTGTGCAAGCTGCCCTTATCCTGCAACACCCCTGAGCTCTCAGACGTCTCCGCCAAGGCAGCTCAACTCTGACCTGCAACACCCCTGCTATTCCGGTTATTCCAGTGCCGGGCTCTCATCCCAGCTTTGCCAATGCACCTCAAACCTGACCTGCAGCACTTGCTCCTATTTCCCTGCTGGGATGCAGATCCGTCAGGGCTCCTATGTTCTGACCAGGGCTTAGGGCAAGAGGCATGGAAAGACTTCCACGTGAGCAGGCAACGGCAGGGCTGTGGGGAGGAGACCCGTAATGGGGACATGATGGAGGCATATTAAAGCATAACTGACACAGAGCAGGTAATCAGGGGGCCTGCTCATCTAACCCAAGAACATGGGGACAATCAGTAACATTGAAAGGCAGCAAAACAAACTGATCAGAGGAAATCATGTTAAAAACACAATTAACCCGTGATCTCACTACCACAAGATCTCATTGAGGCTGAGAGTTTAGCAGGATTTAGAAAAGGCCTGGACAAGCGGACAATATGGCTGAGAACATTCAGTTACATTAGACAGGAAAAATTAGAAGGGCTCTAAACTCTCAGGCCTCAGGACGTAAGTCACACATTGCCTGGTAGACACTAGAAATTAAGTTCCCCTACAGGCAGGATATTCTGTAGTGTCCGTTAAGGGGATTCCTGCTGGCCACTGTCAGGGACAGGGTAGTGGGCTAGATGGGCTACTGGTCTGACAGCTTTATGTCTTTAATTCTCCTGAGGAAAAGTTTCCAACTGTAACCTGCTGCATGACAACTTTGTGACGTGGGGATTACAAGGAAGCAAAACTCTTCCCCACGTGGGACTTAAGGGGACATTTACCAAGGCACAAATGGGATGCAAGCACCCAACAGCCCTTTTGAAAATCTCCCCCTAAGCCAGATTGGAGCTCAGGGCTTCCCGGGTGCAGGGAAAGGGGAGTGTATGAATTGCACTGATCAGCTGAGAAAGGGATTTGGGTGGGAGAAACACAAAAGAGAAACAATTCTCCCCTCCCATCCAGGCAAGGTCTCTTCATACAAACTCTCCATCACGTTTTCATACGACAACCCAAGATGGATTTGGCAAGCTAGGCTCTTCCCCGCTCCAGGAGGTTTCACTTTAAAGATCAGCATTTGCCCAATTAGATTCATGGAGATTTTCCAAGTCTGATTTATGGGCTTCTGCAGCCATCAGCGAGCAAAGACAAAATTCTCTAGTGTCCTGGCCTCTCCTGCCAGAATTGAAAAGGGGGAGGAAAAATTGCAACGACAAGCAAATCCAGTGAGGGGCTGCAAGGGGCCAGAAGCTCCCTGCTTAGATTGTATCAGTGCACACCACCACTGAATGCTGCACTGAAGGCACGTTTGTACCTCTTCAGCCTTGGCGTGTGGGTGTGTGTACTTCCTTCAGCTGCATGAGCTGGGTTCTGTCAACACACGTCAGAGGGGAGGCAAACATGGGTTCATAGTGAAGACTCTTCTGTGATTACATCAGCAGGAGAGCTCTGCACAGAGTGTGTGTGTGATGCCCTGCTGGCACAGAGTCAAATACAGATTTTTGGGCCAATGGGAGGCCATGTGCCCACAGCACCCAGAGTCATCAATTCCAAGGCCAGGAGGAACCACTGTGATCATCTAGTCAGGCCTCCCGCATAACACAGGCCACCAGCACATGGCTCCTTTCCCCGCTGCCCACAGGACACCAGCCCCAGTTGACAGCCGTCATCACTAAGTGTGTTCCTCCAGACAGGGTTGAAGGGCTGTGAACTCACCCCAGAGAACTGCAATCAACAGCATCCTCCTCCTCTCAGCTCCAGGCATCGGAAAAGCATGTGCAGCCTGGGGCGTGAGACCCTACTGCTTCCATCCCAGCTCACAGGATCTGGCCCTCCCATGTCTGTTTGTCCCCAGCCCTGGGCATGTCACTGTGCAGGAATCTTATCTGGAGCATACTATAGGGGGGTCCAGAAGGTACAGGCAATTACAGCAAAGGGTCCCTAAATGATGCTCTGAGGGGGACCAGTTACTGGAAGTTCAATCCCTATGGTAAGGTCACCAGAGAGACATGGCTGGCTTACAGCATCAAGTCACAGGCTGGCCCACAGCATGTGGGACCCTGCTCTGTGTAAGCCCAGATCCCATGCAAGCTTGGCAGCGCATGGCCCACCCTACCTCTCCCTGGAGGCACATCTGGAGAGGAAAGCAATAAGTCAGTGTGCCTCTCCTCTTCTAGCAGCCGGGGACCTCACTGTCATTGTGGTTAAGGCATAGGAATGGGAACCCATGGATCAGAGGCCTGGCCCTAGGTAGCTGTGCCAGTGGCTGGGCGATCCTGAGCACCACATAGCCTCTGACAGGTTATCCCTTCTGAGAGCCGGGAATAATGCTTCCCTCCTGTGGATAAGGAGGGCTGGAAGCTGAATCCCTAACTGCTGAGGAAGCACTTTGAGATCCCCAGATAGGAGGAAGCAGAGGGAGTGAAAGGCCGTTTGATCCTAAAGCTGGTCCTGGCCACCCCATTATCATAGCATCATAGAATATCAGGGTTGGAAGGGACCTCAGGAGGTCATCTAGTCCAACCCCCTGCTCAAAGCAGGACCAATCCCCAATTTTTGCCCCAGATCCCTAAATGGCCCCCTCAAGGATTGAACTCACAACCCTGGGTTTAGCAGGCCAACACTCAAACCATTGAGCTATCCCTCCCCACTTATGGCAAGCTCTCCCCAGAACCTTCAGGACAATGCACACGGGAAGTGTTGAAGAGGCCTTCAGGGGGATGACAAGGATCTCGAAGATCCCTCCTGGCCTCCCACTAAGTCACACAGTCACATCAGCGCTGTTCCACCAGCGTCTAGAATCAGGGTACACCACCAGAAAACACCTGTGAGCATGAACCAACACTCTTGTCATCCAGTTACACAAACCTCAGGCTGTAATCTCATCACCACGGCTGCACAGTCTAGTACATAGGTAAGGGAGTTCTACTCACAGCTCTGCCACTGATTCATTGAGTATCCTTGGGAAGACCCTTAGCCACTTTCCCTCAGTTCCTTGATCTGTGCAATGGGGATAATTATAGTTACTTACCTACCCCACAGCAGCTGCAAAGATTCAGTGCTGGGAAAGCCCTTGGAAGGCACAAATGTAAATCCTCCTCCTATCTCGCACACTAAGCATGGCCATGCCAAGCAGATACTGAGACCTCTAAGGAAACAAATGCGCTGTAGGAAGTGATGTGAGTGGCTTCCCCATTGGCACGTTTCCTTTTGAGTCGGTCCTGAGCCATTGATACCCCAGCATACTGCTAGGCTGCACAATGCTAATGCCTCTCGGGTGAGACACAAAATGGGTTGTCTGAGCTCATGGCACTTTGGGGAAGAATAGGGGTGTTTCTTACACTGGAATTTGGCCAGAGTATCTACAATTCCCTCTGCACATTTCAAATGTCCACAATATTCTTCACTTCCTTCCCACAACTGCCATTCAGTGCCACTGCAAATTTCTGAACAGCTGTCACATTCTGCCTGCAGGGCGGCTGCTGCACTTCAGTGGCTAGTGGAGTGATTCACATGCCTCTAATTGGGCAATCAATTACAATTGTAAACACACCTTGGGATCCCTCAGGATGAAAAGTGCTCAGACCCCATCTCCCTGGGCTGCAGGCCCCAAACATCAGAGAAGGGACCAACTGGACAACTACTATGCATCCGATGAAGCGAGCTGTAGCTCACGAAAGCTTATGCTCAAAAAAATTTGTTAGTCTCTAAGGTGCCACAAGTCCTCCTTTTCTTTTTACTAAGCACCAATTCATCAACTACTCATTGATGGAGCCACCTGTGGCAACAGGAGTTGTCCCAGCCCATGCTCAGGCACAACTCAGCCTTTGATCTACAGAGGCTCTATCTGCGACCTTCAAACACACACGCCCATTGCCCAGGGCAAAAAGCCAGTGGGGAAAAAACCTCCAATTCTCCCCCGCTCCCTCCAGTAGCTCCCAGACCCAGTCTGTATTAGGGCCTCAGCTGATCAGATCAACACTTGCTGGCCTCCTCCACAGCCAGCTAGAGAGTCCCTGAGCCCCGGGGCAGATGAGAAAGGAGCCACAGCGTTAGAGTTAACCCAAAGTCACAATACCAGAAGGAAAGCCTCCCTGGAAAGTGATGTAGCTACAACGCAGAAGCGAAGCAGGAAGAGGCTTCGTTTGTATGTGGTTTTTTACAGCAACTTGAGGGAAGTTGCTCAACTAACTGCTCAGCAACGGGCACTAAAGCTACAGCGCAGAGTGCAGCTGGGACCGGTCAGCCACGCACAAGAAACGGACGCTGCAGGGGAAGGCCAGGCGGCCTCCTTTCCGCACTCTGCAAGTGACCCGGAGCAGGGATGCTACAGCCAAGGGTCTGGGAGAGGCTCCGACAGAGGGGGAGGGGGAAGGGACGACACACCCACACACACGGAATTAAGAGGGGAAAGGAGTGTGGGCGAATGAAGATGCCAGGGGGGGCAGGGAGAAGGCACAGCGATAGCCAGACAGGGGGCTGAGGGTGCAGAGAAGAGAAGCGAGGACTCCGCGGAGAGCCGGGGCAGGGACCGAGAAGGTGGGTGGCAGAAAGGCCACGGGGCGGCCCCAGGACAGTGTGGGCCCTTTCTAGGGGGAGGGGCCCAGGGCTGGCCCGTGGCAGGTGGCCAAGTGCCCACGCTAGGGGGGCCAGGCAGAGGGCAAGGGCTAGGGCCGGGGGGAGCGGGGCTGCGGTGGCCCGGCCACTCACCCTGGATGTCGGCGGCCAGCGCCCGCCAGGTGGGGGCGAAGTGGACGCAGTGGCCGCACCAGGAGGCGTAGAACTCCACCAGCCAGGCGCTGCTGGAGTTGAGGACTCTGCGCTCCAGCGTGTCCACCTGCAGCAGCACCAGCGCGTCGCCGGGCGAGTAGAGGCCGCCGGGCTGCGCCCCGGCCAGGGCGGCCGCCAGCGGCAGCAGCAGCAGCAGCGCGGACGGGGGGCAGCGTCGCCCCGCCATCTTCCGCCGGGAGCCCGCCGCACAGTGGCTGCTGGCCGGGCCGCGGGGGAAGAACTTTGCGGCCGTAGCTGCCGCTGCCTGTCCCTGGCCGGCGGGGGCGGAGCTGCAGGCGGGCCCCTCCCGTCCCCGCCCCTTTGTTGCGGCGGCCACCCTGGCCTGGGCCTGGGCGCGCGCGCTCAGCCTCGGGGCGGGGGGGCTCGGCTCAGCTCCCCTCCCGTCCAGCCCCCGCTCCAGAGCCAGGGGGTCCAAGGCTGGCTGGGCGGCAGCAGGGGTGGGGACCCGGGCAGGGCTGCCTTCAGGCATGGGGACGCCCGGTACCTGGAGAGCCCCTTCCCCCAGCCGTGGTGGTTACCCCGGCTCTGCTGAGCCGGGAGGCAGGTGGCGCCTGGGAGCAGGGTGCCACCCCCCACAAAGCGAGGGCTTTAAAGCAGCAGCGCCCCTGTAAAACTTTCCCTGGGCCTGCAACAAAATGTTACCCCCGCAAGAACGACCCTGTTTCCTACTGGCGTAGGGAGCCTCTCCCCTTTGACACTGTGCCCTGGTGCCTCTTAAGTGATTAAGATGGCCCTGGACAAAGAAGCCCCCCTCGCCCCTCCCCGTGGGCGGGTCTGAGACTCTTGGGCAGTGGCAGGTAGATTGGCGCTAGCTCCCAGCCAAGGGTCATGGGTTGGGTTACCTTTCCCTTTTTGTGGCAGCCTGAGCAAAGGCAGGGGGTAGTCCCCACTCCCCACAGTGCAGCAAGGGAGACCTCCTTCCACCTGAAAGAAATGACCAGCACAGCTGCCTCTCCCTGTCCTAGGACATTAGGGAGATGTGTTTCAGGCCATTGAAATGTATTGGACATAGGCCCCAGCAGTGAAAGGCATCTCTGTGCATTAGAGGGGGCATATGATCCCGTACTCGTCACACTGTTTAACTACATAGCTGCCAGAGGCCCTTGTTCTACACCCACAGATTTTAATACAGATGTGAAGGTGGTTGCTCACATGCAATGCTAACATACAGTATAAATACTTTGATCTATACCTGCCAGGTGCCAGCCATGCCTCGCAACACGTGACAAAGACGCATCATTTTAATTATCTGCCAGAACACAAAACAGCAGCCAAAACACACCTGTTCAAAGATCAGGAGAAGCCACCAAAATCATATGCACTAAAAAAAATCATGAGATCGATATTTAAAAAAACAACAAAAAAGCTTGCCTTGAGGCTTGGCTCAGGTTACACCTTTTCAAGCATTTCTTTGTAACCATGACACCAGAAACATACTGTAAAGAAAAGAAACTGGAAATTCTTACGCAAGTCTTTGTCCCCAGAAGTTGGGCTTTAAGAAAAACATCAGACAGCTTGAGACCCATGATAAAATCACAATAGGGGATTCATTCGTTTAGTGTAAATAACTCTAAGCTCAGGTGCATGAAAGGAAGGACGGTCCAGCAGTTAGGGCACTCACCTAGGACTGGGGAGACCTCCCTGTCAAATCCTGCTCTGCCACGAGCTTCCTGTCTGACCTTGGGTAAATTACTTAGTCTCTTGTACAATTGGGAGAAACAGCTCTGTCCTGCCTCACAGGGGTGTTGTGAGGATAAATACATTAAAGACTGTGAGATGCTCAGTTGTTACAGTGATGGGAGCCAATAATATTCAGCAATCAAAATGAGAGACCGCCACCACTGTGGCAGATAGGAAACTTGGGGACAAATGTGTGACATCTCTTGAAATGAGGGGAATTTGAGAGACGTGCCTAGATAGAAGGGAATTTTACCTTGGAAACCCAGAAGTAAAACTGATTTTAAACACTAACCATATTACACAGAGCCCTGCCATGAGCTGGTAACACACACACACGAAAGAAGAGAATTCAATTTGGTTTTTTTTTAAAGACAAGATTAGATAGGACTTACCTAGTTATTCTAGGACAGTATTTTTGTTCAGGCCTTTTTAACTGTTTAAGAAAAGCCATGAAATGGAAACAGTCAAAGTCAGAAGTCACAGGCATTTTTCTGTATCCTATTATTTATTTTCCAATTTTGCTGCAAATTACTAAAACTGTATTTGGGCTGTAATCAATGTGCCCTCTAGTTTTTGACAGGCCGTGTGCGCAAAAAAATTTCTTCTGTGCAAATTGTGCTTCTGTGCAAATTTTTGTGCGCGTAGTGTTTTGCCGTGTGCACAGAGTTTAGGATCTGTGTGCAGCGCACACGTGCACAGCTTTGAGCGCACAGTGGCTACAATATGGAAATTGATCTGAACATAGATATCACACAAGAGCCAGCCAACCGTTTCAAACTAATTCCACACTCCATGTTTATTCTTTCACTTGTTGGAGAAAAATTCTCTGCGGGTGTCACCTGCAATGGAACTGGGCCAGTTTACATCACCAGCAAATTTGTCTTGCAAATATCTGACTGAGGGTTCCTTGCTCTGTTCCGTTGTGCGAGCATAACGTTGCTGACCTTTTTCACTCTTTACATTAGACTCCCATGCAGCCCAGCTTTACCTTGGCAAAACACTAACTCCTCAGTGAAATCATTTAACATTACTATCACATCCATCCATCCACCCATCCACATGCAAAAATTAATGGATAAATTAAAAAAATACATGGAAAAAATCACAGAAATCAGGGCTCTAATGACAAATGGAATTGAGTAGTTACACTTTTGAATTCAGAACCACCCTTAACCTCCATGCTCCATCACCCACAAGAAAGCCTGGCCTTAGTCTCTGAAACCTGCTTATTTACACACATTTATATAAACCAATAGCCCCTCCTTTTCTGAAGCTCATTTGTCCCTCTCCTCCCCCATCTTTACAGTGGTGTGCATCGGGAAACAATTCAACAACTAAATACGTAGTATTTATTGTTCTCTGTGTTAATCTTATTTTATATGGACAAATATGGGGGGAACACTTAACAGAAGCATCAGGAGAGCACGTCTGTGGTTAGTCACCACGTGATCTTAACGCGGTCATTCTTATCCTTGTTTCAGAGTAACAGCTGTGTTAGTCTGTCTTTGCAAAAAGAAAAGGAGTACTTATGGCACAAGTACTCCTTTTCTTTATTCTTATCCTGCTTTCCCTCAAACCCTCCCTATTCCTGGTCACCCACTCCCCCATTGCAACACTATAACAGACGTTGCAAGCACTCTGGGGCAGGAATCGAGTCAGCCTCCTCCATTAGAGAAGCACATTTCAGGGCACTATAAAGTCACACACAATAATACATAAAAGCAGATACGAAATTAACACATTGGCTTTTTGACAGTCTGTGTTTCAGATCCACTGGTCTCCCAGGAATCGTCCTCGTTAATGGCACTCCCCTTTATTTATGGCTTTGTTTATTGGTCCATCTCAGAAAGCTCATCTTCCCAGAGCTACACCTAGATATTTAATGCAACTTGCTCTGCTAGAAGAACAGGATTCTGAGAGGCCATTAGCATTCCAGCACTTGACAAGAGACCCAGCCAGCTCTTGCAAGGAGCATTTGTACATGATATGACTACTCTGCTTTCCTGAGCAAACCATCTTCATGCAAGAGGGATGTTTTTACAGTGTCTAACCCAGCCCCAATCCTGACCTGTGCCCTTAGGGGGTATGATAATAATCAATATTACAAATACAAAATTACAAACCTTCCATTTAAATGAAATACTGAGGAACTTCAGTGACTATCTCACTGTTCAATGCTTTAGTTCCCAGGGAGGTTAGTGGGAAAGACAGTGGGCACTTTGGTTGCCAGGGGTAATACTAGAAATGGGTTTCGTGTGAAAATTCCAGGGCATTTATGAGACAGTGCTTTCAATGCACAGGGATTAGCACAGAGATCCTAATGCATTCTAGCAGTTTTGGGTGCATTTCACTGGGGAGTGGGATTAGCATGTAGCTCTCCCTACTCTTTGGTAGCTGTGGTTACGTCTCTTGGGGCTTTCTAAACATTACTGCCCTCTAGTGTCTATGGATGGATTTCCAGATGGGTATATCATTTATTTTATCGGTGGCAAAGAGTCCTGTGGCACCTTATAGACTAACAGACGTATTGGAGCAGAAGCTTTTGTATTTTATGGCAGTCCTAGTGACTATCAGACTCCCAGTGTACCAAGTGCAGGGCTAATACAGATAAAGAGACAGTCCCTGCCCCAGTTGAGTGCTCAGAGGGGTGGGGCAGATTAGAGTACCCAGAGAGACTTGCTCAAGTCCCTGTGTCCCCAGCCCAGAACTCACCCCCCCATTGCAGATATAATTTGTGGTTACCTTTTCCTCACTGCTAAAGCCATCAATGGCCCTCGCCTATATTACAAAAATAACCTAATTGAACCATAGTGGTTGTGGCGATGGGTGTTTATTGCTTCTCTAATGCCATAAGAATGATTCAACATTTCAAGGAAGCCTCAGCTTTTTTACAAGACAGTCTTATTATGCTCCTCACCGTGCTTACTCATTCTTCAAGACAGGACATTCCAGTCCCACCGTATGAAGTGGAAGGTGACTCAGGTTCACTCAGCCCTGTCAGGCTTGGAATAATTTGGTTTGATTGGTTAAGCTCTCCTCCACTCTAGCAGTGGCAACAGATGGGTCCATCTCACTTGGCATTATGAAAACACAAGAACTGCATCTTTGCTCGCAAGGCATTGACAGATACTTTGCAATGCCCCATCTTTTCTAAGGGGTGAGTTAGAAGACTGAGTCCTGACTTGGGGCTTCCACTTTTCTGCCATAGAAATGACAGCCTGGGCTGTTGCTTTACTATATTGATTCTTTCCCCAGGGCACATCTGCTTATGTCATTTTAAAGAGACAGCAACTTGATTTCATTAAGTTACTCTAGCATCATGAATTACAAACGTGTTAAAAATCAATTACTTATTCTCTGGCAATCCTGCTAAAAAAAGCCACATCATCTACTCTAATTAGTCCAAATTTGTTGACTCATATTCTAGCTGCAGCTAAAGCATCTTTGTACGTGTAGCAGTTATGCAAAGTGAAGGGAAAGAGTCCACACCCCAAATGCTTCGACTCCTTACAAAGTGACGCTCCACCGTGCTGTGAGTTATTTTCCACGCTTCCTGCTA